AACTCAAGTAAACACGGAACGTCCGCCGAGCTTTAAAGGTGTGACTAACACAGTCAGGTGCACAAAACTAGACATGATATCGTAATTTATACTTTCTTCGGTTCTTTTACCTGTGGAGCAATTAGAAGAAGCCTTCTTTAAATGTTACATAATTTTGAGCCACTATTTGTAATGTCCTACGTGAAGTTGGGCTCCAGAAGGTTGGAGGGGCCAAACTCGCAGTTGGGGAGGGGGCAAATTGAGCATGGCAGGGGGGGGGGGCAGTGACCCACCCAAAAGAATACAAATCGACAACCGTGTTGCGAATCACTACAAAATCTTAAATTGTGTTTACTTCAAAGAACTGAAAGGAAATCGGGAGCCAGGTTCCACATTGTGAATGTCGAGCAAAATACAGCGGTGGTCCGGTCAAATTTTTTGGGGGGTCAGTCCAACATTTGGGGCCCAGACTAGCATTGGAAACAGCTTAACATTGGGGTGTGCCCCCCCCCCCCCTCCCAAAGAGATAAAAGTGTCCACCCTGTCCGTCCATACCCAGTATTAACCATTCTTTCCAAAAGTTTGCATGATCCTGATGTCAAAGAGAGGCGACAGAGGTGATTCACGCCATGTGTCGGGAAAATCGTCCGTCACCCAGATGAAGTTGAAAAGTTGGAGCATAGTATGTCTGCAACCTGTGTAGAACCAAAGTAACCTGCCTGTTGCATTTTCTGCTGTGCTGTTAGTGTTGTGAGCATTTTCCCTGCCGAATGACCAGGGGAAAGGATAAATCGATGCATTGGTATTTGGGCTCTACGCTTTAGTCCAAACCATTATAAGCAATGGTAAATTCAAGGTCGCCAGCCGATCCTACTCAATCGTTAATTTTTTTTTCTGACAGCGAACATTCTGAAATGATGACGCATTTAAAAGAAGTACCTTTTAACGATTTTGGACACTACAATTGTACATTTAGAAACATTCCGGACGTATATTTCACCTGTGCAGTTTTTAGATTGATGACAATAACGTGTTAGTCTTAGCACTACCGCGAAATGGTGCTGGAATCTGGCGGTGGAACTGGAAGGGTGAAGGAAAAATATTTATTTTCCATGTTGCTGGAAATGTTGATCTGTCCGGAGGACAACCGCAAAGTTTCAAAAGCAAGAGACTCGCCCAGTGTGATCTCTCAGTTGTGCGAAAACATTCGGAAGCATGATTTTATGACGGTCATTGTTGCGCCGACTACGCTCTCCCCCCCCCCCCCCCCCCCCCGGCGTTACTTGCAGTGGCCAACGGCGTTCGGTTTAACGAAAACTGGAGCCCAAGCCCCAAATTCTCAGGAACCCAAGAACTTAGGCTCTGGAGAACCCAAGTTCTCCAAGATTACGGGCGTGTCATTGGAGTTTAATGGCGCACTCAGCTGCTAGGGCTATATGGCGTCGCCAGCCTCTCAGCCCGGCGGAAAGGACGGACGCCGCGGGAAATCAAACCCCTTACCTGTGGTTTCCCAGACGCATGGCTAGACGAATCAGACGGGGCGAAAAAACGCAAAACGGCCAAAAATAAAGATATGGGGTCTTCCCTTTGGACGGCAGCGCTGCGCTGTTGGTACCCAGTGCGCTGCCTCAAACCTTATGATGCTATGTGCTTCATTAGTCGATTCTGCAAAATAATGAACGCTCTCAGGGAACATAGGATGACCTTGTGCATTTTGAACTTACTCCGACCTACTCCATGCAACACTTATGAGATCTCTTACGTCGGGCAAAGGGGCTCCCTTGAGCACAACACTACCGAGCTCATTGTTGTTCACGGTGTTGCTTGACGCGGAGACCATCCAACCCGCCCAGCTGACCCTGGATCGACGCATAAATCATCATTAACGCAACAACATCGCTGCCCGCCTCACCAGTTGGGCCTAACGGACCCGTACTGGAATAGGGTTGGAGGGCCCACCGTTCGGTACTGGGGACCCTAACTGGCACATGACTTTTCTATTGCCTCAGTGTGAGCACTCATAAGTTCCTTTGTTTCCTTCAACTGTCAGAGGGTCTCGGCCAACGCAAGAAACCCTCCGCCATTAGGACTACCGTCCCCGTCCCTGTTGAGCAAATCTTCTAACCGATTCGAGGCCCGTTGTTGACACAGAATATCCTGTTCGGCACCGTGGGTCTCCAAACGACACAGGAGCCCAACCAATGCAAGTCGCGGGCCCGGTCTTGTTTCTGCTTGGGAAATGGGCCCCCAGAGCACAGACCTACGCGGAGACGACTACTCGTTGTTCGGGATATCTGGCCAAAATAGAGGAATGCTCTGTTTCAGGAGCCCCTATCGGTGCAAGAGATGGTCTTACTGACATTTGAGATCACGGCCCTATGGGCGGGGGTCCTTAATGTGACCTACAGCCAGCTCTTCGGACCCCTCAGCTGTCCCATTGAGCCCCATATCTTTGGTTTCGAGAGACACTTCGGCCTGTCTTCAGGCTCCTCAAACACCGCTCCGACTCGGGGCCACTTGCTGCAACAGGCACCCTGTTAGCCACTGTGGCCCCTAACCGACGTGGGAGTCCCTGATTGTGTCAAGGACTCCGCACATTGCAAATCGCGGACTCCGGTTCGCTTCTGCTTGGGAAAAGGGCTTCAAAGGCTCAGACGGACATTTTTTCTTATAAATTTATTCCGAATGGTTTGCGTTGGTGACTCTGGGTTCATAGTACCTGCTAAGCATAGCTTGTTGCGTGTACCCTGAACCCAACACCCAAGGTGTCCCTCCAGTTCAACGGATAATTTTGCCTCCGCTCTTGCGCCAGACAAGACTGCGGAGGGTTTTACGTGCCGCACAATGCTGCGAAACGGCCACCCCGGGCCGGACCCAGGGTTGGAGGACATGGAGCCGGCTGTTCGGTGTTCGTGATCTCTGACCGACTTAGACACCCGCACTGTCTCAGGGGTTTGTGAAACGCTGCAATAGGAGATCTGACTGATGTTTTTGGTGACGACCCTACGAGCCGCGATTGTTCATGTACTTGCGTAATAATTCAATCATTTCTTCAATTCTTTGTTCTATTCAATTCTTCGCGTAATTTTAAAAAAATCACGATAATTGGGAAGTGGGTCTTCAGGCCCTTTTTTTCTCGCCAACCGATTCTGACCGAATTTTGAAAATTTTCGGGCAAATGTGTTGGCCATAACATAAACTTTGACCCATTTTGATATATAATGTACGCCTACGAGTTCAACATCTATGCATAACTGAGATTCGAACTGTGGCAAAGATTCTGAGTTCTATCGGCTTATAAGTCCAATGAGCCATTGTAAAATGGGAAAGGCCTGTGGTGTATTCCATATAACCGTTGACCGCCTGATTACCTCAGTCTACTGAGTTCAAAATTTAGGCAGAATCCGTTTCCTGGTAGCTCATGGCTTCTGTTGAAGCTATGAAAGGTAAAGAAGGCAAAAATATTAAGATAAAGAAAACCGTGTTCCTCATTCCCGGCAGTAGTAATTGGAGCTTTAGGGCACTCTGACTGCGCGGTCATATAGCGGCCATAGCATACGTCCCAATCAAAGCTAATCAAATACACCCATCATGTACCGCAAACAATCTGATGCGGTATACATATGGAGAACTTCACACGCGACAGGAATTTAAACAGATATCCGGGGAGTGCTGAGTCATTGCTGAATAAATCGGACAGCGTGAGAGGCGGTACAGCTGACGTACCACACCGCATACGTTCATCATGTAACGCGGGACGAGAGAGCGCTAAGTAAGCGTCAAGGGCGCCAAGCACCACGTAAGCGTTGGCGCTTACTGCGCGCCAACGCTCACGTGGCGCACAGTAAGCGTTGCGTTACATTGGCGGCATGGGGGCGGTTCATTGCGACAAAAAAGGTAGCTATAAGTGGCGTACGCATGTCCGATTCGCAAACGACTCGGAATCACTTCCTCCCGCCTTGACTCCCGATACCATGACTGCCATTCCTGGATGACCGGCTCAGTCATTTTCCGTTTATTTGTGCCTACCTCATCCCACGTGCTCTGCCAATGGCGTGAAAACGACGACGTAGCTGGGTATAAGTCTGCGGCAGGCATTGGGTGCGCTCTTGTGCATTGACGAAGCGTAGCACGCTTTCCGGCGGCGGCGGCAAGCTCATTTCCAGCGATTCATACGTGGCTTGAAAACCAGCAGTGTTATGTTCTCCCTGGCCTGGAGCCAATACCTAATAAAATGTCCTGCATGCGGAGACTTGCGGGATTAAAAAGTCCTAATGCCAAAAGACTACTTAGTGAGTCTGGTAAAATAAAGTGCAGAGCGTCTTCGTCCACCTGTATAAAGCAGTGTCTCACTGATCGCAACAAGCTCCGCGGTACATACAGACGAACACTTCGGAAGCGTGAATGACTGCGTCTTGGCCGCACACAATGGCGCAACCAACGCCCGGATCCGTTTTATAACCGTCCGTACATGTGGTTTTATGTTTTTGATACGTTTCGATACGCTGTAGGGCTGTAGCTCTTCATTACCGGCGATGTTTTCTTTGTGGGGGGCCTTTCGCAGCCCTGTGCCACGTCCCTTCGCACCAACGTTGTGGCTGCGCCCCTGCCTCCTCTTCATGCAACTTACCGGCGTTATGCCATTTTCACACAAACCCTTCGATATGTCTTCCTCGCAGTCACCGCCACGCCGCCGGATACGCCGTGTCCATATTGTGCTTGCACCGACAATAGAAGATCTAGCCAGCTCGCTTCCCATTCTAACTGGCAACAAAGCTCCAAAGAAATAAAGCGAATGCAGACAGCAAAAAAGTTCACTCAGGAGTCTATACCGATTGTACCAGGACTCAAAGGGCCAGGCTGTATGAGGACTCGCCACAGGCCGGAGTGTATCGAACTGGAAACGGTAATGTTAACTTCTCAGAGCGTTCAAACGGAAGCCGTCCGGGACCGCCGTTGGCCGCCGGATATTGTCGCAGTTGCTGTAGCAGGATACGCTGCTGTATGCCAAACACTCAGACCATAGGCTTTCTCATATATTGCTGTTTTGACATGTTTACATAACCTCATGCTTAAAGGCAAATCCCATGTCTAAAACATCGAATACATTTTAAATAAAACGATTAAGCTCTACCCGTGCGTACGGACACGGGCAGGTGACGTTCAAGTAAGCTGTTTTTCACGACTTCCACATTGCATGGCTATAGGACCATCATTAAAGGATAATTTATCTCAAAACAGGAACCAGGGTTTTCTCTGCTTCATGTTCTTTCATGTGTTCCTCATTTCCGCGGAAGGAGCCTGCCCTGAAAGCAACCATTATTCCGTGACCACGTTGCCAACGCAACGGAACAAGCATGCAACCAGTCGGACCTATGACGCGCACACCAGTGTGCACACCCATCACCGTTGGATTGAGGTAAAGAACGCAGCAAGACACATGTGGATCAAGGCAGGGCTTTCCAGTCGTAGCAGCGTCTGTCAAGGCATGGGAGATATAGTCGTGACGAGCGTTCGGGCGTCGCAGGCTTCCCGTCGCACGACGCCGATCGTAGCAGCGAGGCACACGCTAGCCGCAGGTTACAGCATCCAACGTGGGGAGAACGACGGCGAGTGACAGCGGTCCATGCAGCCGAGCATGCGTCCATTCGATTCCAGTCCGGTGACGGAAGCCCGTGGCGGCTCGCCGGGCCCAGCGATCGGTGTTCACAACATGCGCATGCGCCCGCCCTGCGGCGTGAACCAGAAGCCCGGCTGAGCTCGGGCCGCCCGTCCGGGGCCTGCCACAGCAGGCGGCACCGGTCTGAACCGCCCTCTGCAGCGGCCGCGGCGGACGGCGGCATCAGCCGCAGCTGTCGCGAGTCTGCTCCTACTGTTACGTGCTGCTACAGCAGGCGGCGCCTACGTGCTACAACTACAACAGGCGGCGTCCGCGTGCAACCGCAACAGGCGGCGCCTACGTGCTACTACGACAGGCGGCGCATACATCCCGCAACAGGCAGCGCTTACGGCTACAGGCCGCTATGAAGAAGACAACTAGACGCCAGCTACGAAGGGCTGGTGTGGGTCGTTAACGTCCCACCCCGGGAATCAGCGTCAAGTCGCCTGCAGAACGCACCGAACGACAACACTCCACGACAGCCTTACCCTCAACACATCGCCCTGGATGACATGTCTTGCAAAAGCGAGACTCATGTCTCCAAAACCTCTAGACTTGGATATGGCCTGAGGCAATATGCCTGGCCGTTGAAGCGGCTGCTGATTGCTGAGGTGTCACGCGTGAGCGTCCGCTTAAAGGGTTTCGTTCCATTTCGTGCTCCGGGTAATCATTATTCAAGCCAACAGAATCTCTAAAACAATGGATTCTGTATTATTGTTACTGTCTTCGCATTCCATGAGGGCTAACATCGCATTAGGCCCACATCGCGTTTGTCCATTCAGCCTCCCCCTTCCACAATCGAGCATAAGTTACACGTGTGTGTGTTAATACAAACAGCTGGCGCGCCAAGCGGGCGCAGCGGCGGCCGTGCGTCACGGGGTCGCGCTCGCTCCGGCGGGCCGGTCGCCGCCGACGCCCGGCCCAACGGACCCATCAGAAGGCACATCATCTATCCACACTCGTCGCACGACAGAGAGCACGATACGGCGGCGGCCCGACGACTGCCCCGGACGCCTCTCCCGGCAGCGGCAGCGCTGGAGCGGCGGTGCCTGTGACGGCAGCTGCGGGTACGCCGGCTGCATCCGCCGACGGCTCGGCGTCAGAAGTCCGCCCGCTCTTCAGTCGTGGAGCGCCACCACACGCTCCCGCCCTCAGCGGCGCTGGTGGAGACTGACCGGAATCTGACGCAGAACAGGCCGTGTCAGCGCCGTATCGGAGCCGGGCGCGGGGCCCACCGTGGAACTGTGCTCTTGCTGAATACCGAGCAGCGTTCCGCGGTTGCGGACGGTTTCTACCGCCGGCGGCAGCTGAGGCGCTCGCCTAGAGGGTGGCCGGGACCGGCGAAGCACGTTTATTGTTAACCCCCATAGATAGCAACGACCGAGCGTCACGAAATCCTTGGTTAGTAACGCTACAACAGCACAGCTACGGTGCGAGAAAACCTCTATGGACTACAGAGTTCACGAAATGCCGCGCTAACCATGGACAATGGTGGCGCCGGATTTGGCCGCCGACGAGGGCTTCCCATCGCGGCGCGGCGGCCCGCCCACCCCACCCACGCGCTCTCACCGATTCCTCCCGGTTCTCCTTGCCGCCGCGCGCCGCGCGGAAGAACTTCTTGAACGAGGGCGTCTTCAGCTTGCGCTTGGCCGGCGTCGGCGTCTGCGGCGGCAGCTCGGCCGGCAGCTCCTGCGAGGTGAAGCTGGCGCGCGTGGAGCTCAGGCTCTCGTCGTCGGCCGGCTTGATGTTCTTGGCCGGCGTGAGGTTGCCGCGCCGCGGTCGTGCGTACGACGTCTGAGGCGCAGAGCAGGCGGCTCCGTTCACGGCCGCTCACACGCGCGCGCGAGCGCGGGGAAACGGCGGGGTCCGTGGCGCGGCGAGCGACTCCGGACAGCGGTCGGCCCGGCCATGCACGGAGGCTCCGGCGCTGGCAAGCGGCTGGCGGGCGGTACAGGGCGAGGCGGCGGTCGGCGACAAGGGGCCTGATGCCAGTGGACGAGGTGCGATCGCGAAGGTGGGCCGGTATCTCTCTGAGCATTACTGAAGGCGTGGCCGCTGTCCCTGTGCTGGTCAGTCCTTGACAAGGATTTGCTGTATGCTCCACGTGAAAGGACAGACATGGCCTTGTCTTACATGAAAATCCACGTTCAGATGCTCAAAAGACAACCACTTCCGACAGCACGACAACAGCAGCAAACACTAATGCATCCCGTCCCGTGTACGGGGAACGGTTTGCCATCTCTCTACACTAATCACTACAACAAAACCAACCAGCACCGTCACCGTTGTTACACCGCCCAGCCTTCAGCCGGTCGTACACCGCACGCCCGTGCCTACCTCCTGCCGCACCCTACTGGAACAGCTAACCTGCGCGGCTGGGAATTCGGGCGCCGCCGCCGGCCGTGCGGCTCAGACCACCATTAGTGGAAGCGACCCTTCTGCGCGCGGGTGCGCTGCATGCTGCAGCATGGGCGGCGGCTAGGCGGCCCGACGGGGCATGCACGCCCGGGACTGGAGGCACGCGCGCTCAGCTGCAAGGAACGGGCGAGCTCTGGAGCGGTCCGGAGAATGCGATCGAGGTGCGACGCTGTGGCGGAGAGGAACTGGGCAGAACAGTCTTGGTAGTAATTGGGGCTTTCGGGCGCCTCGAGTACCCAATGGTTTAGGCTACCGCCCGGCAGGGTGGGGGAGATGACAGGGCGCAGGCCGGGAAAGAGGACGGGGCGCATGCCGGGGAAGTCAGGGCCGGCTGGCGGGGTGGCTGACGCCGCCGCCGTCTGCAGACGCCGGCTGTCACCGCCCGGTCGGACGGCCCACCAGCCGGCTCCCTCACACGTCCCGAGGTCGTGGGCGGCCGTGGGGTCAGGGGTCAGCCACGGCACGTCCCGCCACGCCGGTGGCCACCATACCTGCAGCTGGTCGCGGCGGCGCCGCTTGCTGTTGACGCTGCTGGTGCTCGAGTTGCTTTCCAGACTGTCGGAGAGGAAGTCGCCGCTGCCGGCCGACTTGCGCTTGCTGCTGCGCGTGTTGCACGCCGGCGAGTCGAGCGTCACGCGGCGCGTGCGGTCGCTCAGCAGCGCCATGTCGTCGCCGTTCTGTGCGCGGTAACCAGGCGTCCACCAAGGCAGCGAACGGACCACGCGTTCACGTGGTGGACAGCCAGGAAAGGACTCGATGCGGAGGGGCACGCGCCCGTTTGGTGGAGAGTTCGGAGGGAACTTCAGGCAGTGGACCATGGGCGGGTGCGCATTGTGCGGCGGCGACAGGCCATATCTGGACGATGTGGCTGAGGACTGTGATGAGCACTATGTACTCACCACGCAAGGCTCTAATGGGACTGAGCCCCACTGTGAGAAGGCTCTGATGGGACCGGGCTCCACGGTCAAAAGGCTCTGATGGGACTGGGCTCACGGTCAAAAGGCTCTGGTGGGACTAGGCTCCACGGTCAAGCGGCTCTGGTGGGATTAGACTCCACGGTCAAAAGCAGGATATGCTACCAAACAGCCTTCTAGCCCTAGTGGCCAAAGACGCTCAACATGACCGCCAACGTAAGCACCAACAAAATAAGACTCCCAGCTACGCCATACCAAAGCCATTAGCTGCGACAGAAACCACGACAACGGCAACGGTTCAATCTATCTCGCAGTCGTCTGCGAGTGAGTACAGCTCATACTCTCTATCCACCAGCCGCACCTGGCCACCACCCTCGCAAAACACTACGTCGGACCACCACCCCGCGACCGTCCGGCCGGCCCGCGCGCGGCGCCGCCGGCCGGCAGCACGTACCCGCAGCTCGTTCTCGGTCATGAGGGCGGCCGAGCCGGTGATGTTGACCTCGGGCGCGTAGCAGGAGCGCAGGTGCGGCGGCATGAGCGAATTTCGCCGCTGCAGCTCGCTCATGCGGCCCAGGTAGTCGACCTCGCAGTGACCTGGGCCAAGGCCGGCGCGGCGTCAGGTGGGCGACGCGACGGCATCGGTCAACGGCGCACGGCCAAGCGTCATCAGTGGGATAGAGGAAAACAGAAAAAGCAGGTATGAACGCCAGTTCACTACCTATTCCGCGATGATGCTTCGACAAAGAAAATATGCACAGGAAAAGATAGTGTTGGATGATCGGCTGGTCGAGGTCGCGACATCGATGAGGGTGTTAGACCCCAGTTTCAGTTGGTGTCAGATGCCTTTAATACAAATGTTTCGGACTCAGCCAAAGCTCAGACGTTTTCATGACTCCGCAAGCAGCCGATCAAAAGACACGCAAAGTTCCAAAAATCGCGCCGCATAGATACACGGCACCAAGGGATGGTCCCAATGCTTACCGCCCTGGAGTCCCTGTAAGTGGGAGGTGCTGAAAGGCACATAGAAACAGGGATGGGGACGGGGACGGTACGGAGGGACGGAGTCCGACACTCACCATCCTGGAGTCCCTGCAGATAAGAGGTGCTGAACACCTCCTGCTCCTCGTCATCGCAGGAGAAGAAGGGCCCGATGCCCGGCGGCGGCACGCGCCTCTGCCCGCCAGCCAGCCCCGCCGACAGCCCGGCGGCCAGCCCGGCGGCGTGTCCCACCGCTTGTCCCACGGCGCCGCCCGCCGGCTGTCGCGCCACGTCGCCCTGGCTCACGCTCTTCGGCCGGCGCGGCGGCTGCTTGAACTCGGCGCCGGTGCGCGTCACATCCGTGGCTGAGGCGGCGGCGCGCGTCACGGGCGTGACGCTCAGCCGCGGCGGCGGCCGGGCCGGCTCGGCGGCGCGCCGCGGCACGCGCTCCTGGTCGCGCAGCTGCCGGTCGGCCAGCGCCAGCTGCGCCTCGGTGGTGCGCAGCTCGGCGGACGAGCGCTTGAGCGCCTGCTGCAGCTGCGCCACTGTGCTCTCGTGCGCCGCCTTGGCCGCGTCCGCCTGGCCGCCCAGCTGTTTGATCTTGGAGAGGAGCGCCGCGTTCTCGCCCTCGAGCCGGCGCACCTCGCGCTCGAACGCGGCCGCCTGGCGCTTCTGCTCCTCGCGCGCCTTGGTCGTGATCTCTTCGCGCGACTTGCGGAACACGGCGTTGAACGTCTCCTGGCACTCGCTCTTGATCTGGTCCTCGAGCTCGGCCTTAATTCGCTCGGCGTCGGCGTCGCCGCGGCTGACGCGATCCGAGAGCTGCTGGTTTTCCGTCTGCAGTCGCTTCAGCTGCAGCGCCTGCTTCGCCTCCCGCTTCTGGGCGGTCGCGGCCTCCAGCAGGGCCGCGTCCAGCGAAGCCTGCAGGGACTGCGCGACTTCATCGCGCTCCGTCTGGACACCCGCCGCTTGAGACTTGGCGTCTTCGAGCGCCGCCTGCAGAGTCCGTGTCGTCTGATCGCGCTCCGCTAGAAGCGCTTTATTCTCTGACCTCGCGGTCTCCAGAGAGGTTTGTAAAGACTGGACGGCCTCCTCCCGCTCCGTGCGAAGCGTTTTCGCCTCCGACTTCGCAGCATCGAGCGAATCTTTCAGGGACTGAACGGTGTCATCGGTCTCCTTCACGACGGCAGCTGTCTCTGATTTAGCGGTTTCCAACGCGGTTTTCAGAGACTGCACAGTCTGCTCCTGCTCTGTGCGGAGCAATTCTGCATCAGACTTGGCAGCATCAAGCAAAGCTTCTAAGGACTGGATGGTTTCCTCCCTCTGTTTAATGACACCGTCTGCCTCAGACTTAGCAGCCTCCAAAGAGGTTTGTGCGGATTTGACAGTCTCATCGCGATCCTCACAAAGCGTTTCAACCTCAGACTTGGCTGTTGCCAGCGACGTTTGAAGAGATTTGACCGTCTGCTCATGCTCTTCACGGAGCGCGTCAGTCTCGGCCCGCGCTGCCTCCAGCGCGACTTCGAGAGACCGCACGCTCTGCTCATGTTCGCCGCGAAGAGCTGCGGTCTCCGACTGCGCGGTCTCCAGCGAGGCTTGAAGGGTTTTCACGGTCTCCTCGCGAAGAACTTCATTCTCCGACTGCGCGGCCTCCAGCAAAGCTTGAAGGGACTTGACAGTCTGCTCGTGCTCCTCCCGCAGCGCTCGCGTTTCCGACTGCGCGCCTCTTAGCGCTGCTTGGAGAGACGTCACAGCCTGCTCACGTTCGACGCGGAGCGCTTCAGCATCGGATTGTGCGGTCTCCAGCGATGTCTGCAGCGAATGGGCATTGCGCTCGCTCTCTGCACGGAGCGACTCGGTGCTGGCCTGCGCCGAATCCAGCGAGCTTTGCAGGGATCGAATGACGTCATCGCGCTCCTTTAACACCGCATCTGCCTCAGTCTTGGCCGAGTCAAGTGAAGCCTGCAAAGAGTGCATAGTCTGATCACGCTCCTCAAGGAGCGCTTTAGAGTCCCGTTCCGCAGCGTCGAGCGAGTCTCGAAGACGCCGGACTGTTTCCTCATTTTCTGCACGAAGGGCTTCGGCCTTAGCCCTTTCATCTTCCCGCGACTTTGCCACCTGCTGGAGCTCCGACCGAACAGCTTCGGTCTCGGACTTCGCGGTCTCCAAAGACGCCTGCAGAGATCGGATAGTTTCCTCACGCTCCTTGACGGCAGTGGCTGCCTCTGACTTGGTGGTCTCCAGGGACTGGACAGTGTCCTCACTTTTCGCAAGAAGCGCTTCAGCCTCGTTCTTTGCTGTCTCCAGTGACGCCCGCAGAGATCCGATGGTTTCCTCGCGACTCTCGATGGCTGCAGCTGCATCCGAGCGCGCGGTCTCCAGGGAGGCTTGAAGAGACTTCGCCGTCTGGTCGCCTTCCGCACGGAGCGTCTCAATGTCCGACTTTGCATCCTCCAGTGAGGTTTTTAGAGACCGAATAGTTTCATCCCGTTCGTGTATGGCTGTAACTTCGTCTGACTTCGCAGCATCCAGTGATGCTTGCAGAGACTGGACCGTCTGTTCCCGTTCCTCACGAACCGATTCAGTCTCGGACTTCGCCGTCTCCAGTGACGTCTGAAGAGATCGGATGGCTTCCTCCCGTGCCCTGATCGCCACGTCAGCCTCCGACTTGGATGTCTCCAACGCAGCCTGCAGGGACTGGATGGCGTCCTCACGTTCCTTGATGGTCGTGGCCGCCTCCGAGCTGGACGTCTCCAACGCAGCCTGCAGGGACTGGATGGCGTCCTCACGTTCCTTGATGGTCGTGGCCGCCTCCGACTTGGACGTCTCCAGCGCAGACTGCAGGGATTGGATGGTGTCCTCACGTTCCTTGAGGGTCTTGGCCGCCTCTGACTTGGACGTCTCCAGCGCAGCACGGAGGGACTGGATGGTGTCCTCACGTTCCTTGACGGTCGTGGCCGCCTCTGCCTTGGACGTCTCCAGCGCAGATTGCAGGGACTGGATGGCGTCCTCACGTTCCTTGAGGGATTGGATGGTGTCCTCATGTTTCTTGAGGGTCGTGGCCGCCTCTGACCTGGACGTCTCCAGGGCAGCCCGCAGGGACTGGATGGCGTCCTCACGCTCCTTGATGGCCACAGTCGCATCTGACTTGGACGTTTCAAGCGTAGCACGCAGGGACTGGATGGCGTCCTCACGCTCCTTGGTGGCCACAGTCGCATCTGACTTGGACATTTCCAGTGCGGATTGCAGGGACTGGATAGCGTCCTCACGCTCCTTGATGACCGCAGCCGCCTCTGACTTGGACGTCTCCAGCGCAGACTGCAGGGTCCGGACGGCATCCTCACGCTCCTTGACGATCGTGGCCGCCTCTGACTTGGACGTCTCCAGCGCAGACTGCAGGGACTGGATGGCGTCCTCACGCTCCTTGATGGCCGTAGCCGCCCCTGACTTGGACGTCTCCAGCGCAGCCTGCAGGGACTGGATGGCGTCCTCACGCTCCTTAACGGTCGTGGCCGCCTCTGACTTGGATGTCTCCAGCGCAGACTGCAGGGACTGGATGGCGTCCTCACGCTCCTTGATGGCCGTAGCCGCCTCTGACTTGGACGTCTCCAGCGCAGACTGCAGGGACTGGACGGCGTCCTCACGCTCCTTAACGGTCGTGGCCGCCTCTGACTTGGACGTCTCCAGCGCAGCCTGCAGGGACTGGATGGCGTCCTCACGCTCTTTGACAGTCATGGCCGCCTCTGACTTGGACGTCTCCAGCGCAGACTGCAGGGACTGGATGGCGTCCTCACGCTCTTTGACGGTCATGGCCGCCTCTGACTTGGACGTCTCCAGCGCAGCCTGCAGGGACTGGATGGCGTCCTCACGCTCCTTGATGGCCGTAACCGCCTCTGACTTGGACGTCTCCAGCGCAGCCTGCAGGGACTGGATGGCGTCCTCACGCTCCTGAACGGTCGTGGCCGCCTCTGCCTTGGATGTCTCCAGCGCGGACTGCAGGGACTGAATGGCGTCCTCACGCTCCTTGATGGCCGTAGCCGCCTCTGACTTGGACGTCTCCAGCGCAGACTGCAGGGACTGGATGGCGTCCTCACGCTCCTTAACGGTAGTGGCCGCCTCTGACTTGGACGTCTTCAGCGCAGACTTCAGGGACTGGATGGCGTCCTCACGCTCTTTGACGGTCATGGCCGCCTCTGACTTGGACGTCTCCAGCGCAGACTGCAGGGACTGGATGGCGTCCTCACGCTCTTTGACGGTCATGGCCGCCTCTGACTTGGACGTCTCCAGCGCGGCCTGCAGGGACTGGATGGCGTCCTCACGTTCCTTGATGGCCGTAGCCGCCTCTGACTTGGACGTCTCCAGCGCAGACTGCAGGGACTGGATGGCGTCCTCACGTTCCTTGAGGGTCCGTGGCCGCCTCTGACTTGGACGTCTCCAGCGCAGACTGCAGGGACTGGATGGCGTTCTCACGTTCCTTGATGACCGCAGCCGCCTCTGACTTGGATGTCTCCAGCGCTCCTTGCAGAGACCGGATGGCGTCCTCACGCTCCTTGATGACCACAGCCGCCTCTGACTTGGACGTCTCCAGCGCTCCTTGCAGAGACCGGATGGCGTCCTCACGTTCCTTGATGACCGCAGCCGCCTCTGACTTGGACGCCTCCAGCGCAGCCTGCAGGGACTGAATGGCGTTCTCACGTTCCTTGATGACCGCAGCCGCCTCTGACTTGGATGTCTCCAGCTCAGACTGCAGGGACTGGATGGCCTCCTCACGTTCCTTGATGACCGTAGCCGCCTCTGACTTGGACGTCTCCAGCGCGCGTCGCAGCGCCTGCACCGCCTCTTGGTACTCCACGCGTGTACCGCTTAGCTCCGCCAGCGCACCCTCCAGCGACACCTGCAGCCGGCCCACTTCCGCGCGGCCGGCCTCGGCCTCGGCTCTGTGCGTGTCCAGCTCGTCCTGCAGCGACCGAAGCTGAGCCTGCCCTTCGGCGTGCTGGCGCTGCAGCTGCTCGGCCTCGCCGGCGGCGGCGCGCAGCTCGGCGCGCAGCTGCTCCGTCCGGTCGCGCAGCTCGCCGCACTCGACGACGGCCATCTCGCTGGCGAGACTGCCAGCCAGTGGGCCACTGGAGCGCGGCGGCGACTGGTCCATCGCTGCCGAAAGAGGGGAGCTCGGTCAGGAGCGGGCGGTGACGGCTACCATGCGGCGTTATCTAAAGATCGGCATAGGAAATGTTAGCACTGCTCTGGATCAGTGGTTTAAATGGTTTGACATCAGTCCGTACGGACCATCAGACCGTGCGTCAGTCTGTACGGACCGCTATTCGGTGTCCCTTGCGCAGCATGTCCCAAATAACGACCTACGGGTTTAGTGAGCATGCATGTATATATATATATATATATATATATATATATATATATATATATATCCAGAGAGGAAGCTTTTTCTGTGCAACGGACGGCCAACGGGCACCTAAACTTGTGGGAACGGCAGATCAAACACTGGCGGCCGCTCAGTCAGACAGACGGCCGGACACTTCAGCCAATCGTCCAGACGGCCGATCCGATATTGCAGCCGTCGAAGTCCAGTCCAGACGGATGCCGCACACCGCCAGCCGCGCGTCACTCACAGACGTCGCGCTGCTGGGCCTGGACGTGGTGCAGCATGTCGGCGCTGACACGCAGCTCGTGCTGCAGCTCGGCCAGCCGGGCGGCCAGCTCGCCGTTCTCCTCCCGCAGCTGCGCCTGGTCCATCTCGGCCGCCGACAGCGCCCGGCCCAGCGCCAGCGTCTCGGCCACGGCGCTCTGCTGACGACCGCGCACGCTCTCCAGCTGCGGACGGGCCCGGCGGCGTGAGGTGCGCCGCCCCGCTCCCCCCGCCGGCGTCGTCAGCCGCACGGGCGCAGCGGGGGCTCCACTCGCGCGGCAGAGGTGACGGGCGGCCGTGACGGACAGTGAGCCACAGGACAGGCGGGGCGCCAGCAACCTCGGACGACGTGCGAGGCGCCACCCAGCGGCAGCGCCAGGAAGACGCCGGGGCGACGCCACGACGGAAGAGTAGGCGTGTGGTGATACAACATCGAAAGTGCCTCCATAATCTCAAGGTGTGACTCTTGCTTAGATGCCACCCGAGCCACTCATTGCAGTTTGCTCATTGATCATTGCCCGTCGCGACAACCAACACTAGAAACGAGAATGGGTTGCGACGTTTAAGCTGTCGTCGCGAGCTTTCGCATATAGTTCCGTTCGCAATGTCAGCGCCAGTTAGAAGGACGACGAAAGACGGGAGCCGCGTGAAACGAAGAAGTCAAGGTGGGGTGACGTGCACCGTCCTTGCTTGAAGGATCAGCATCAGCATGAGTCCGACGCCGATGTCGGACGCGGACCTCTCACCTTGGCCAGCAGGTCGTCCCTCTCACTTTCCGCATCGAGCAGCCGGGCGCTCAGTGTTTCGTTCTCCTGCAGGAGCTTCTGCGGACACGACAGGGGACGCGTCACCGACGGACCGGAGCAGGCGGAGCCGTAGCTAGCCGCGGTGGCGTTGAACGGCGCCCAACCGACGGCATGCACTTCATTACACTGCCCGAAATGTGGATAAACGCACAGTTTGTAGGTAAAGCTATCAGCATCGATCCGATTGCATGCATTACAGGTTTTTTCATAGCCGAGCGTAAACGTGGAAACACGTATCCGTAGAGGCAAATCAGCTAGACGCCATGGATTGACTAGCTTGCTCCCTTGGAGGAGTTTGGAGGTTTTAGGGGCCAGAAGTCCCAGACGTGTGGTGAGGGAGTTTGCACAACCCTAGGGGCTATCAAGCTCTCGTACTTGCACTGAAGTTAAACGGAGCCGGCGACGGTTTGGTGCCCAGGACTCGGAGCCAACAGTGAGCCATATCTTACGGCGAGAACTTCGTCCGTATATGATGGGGTGAATGAGGTGGGGCTTGTAAGGTTAGTGTCCCACACACTTTGAGGTGTGAGACACACTGGCAGCATCTTTTGAGTTGTTGCAGTCTATACACAAACGCCTCTGTTCTCTCCACACTAGTACTCTTTCAGATGTGGGACCTTGGTGGATCAGAACCTTTGAAAGTCGGTTCGAGTCCAAGGGGTTCAGTTCATGTGTGTGGGGATTGCTTCGTTCGTCGCTACGTGGATTCATTGACTATGTGCGGAAGTGAGAGAGAGCGACTGTCAGTGCGGGGAACAGCTGTCAATGCGTGTGTGTAGGGGAGAAGTCCCAGCGAAGGAAGGGGGAGGGGATCAGCGGGCCGGGAGGGCGGTCGTCATCACGCCGCCCCTCGCCGTGGAGCGCCTCTCTGCAGCGCGCGCCCGGCCGGGGCGCGGGCTCTGACCCCGTGCCGCTGCAGCCGGCTGCGCTCCTCGGCCGTCAGCGCCGCCTGCTGCGGGTCGCCCAGCCGCGCCTGCAGCTCGCCCAGCTGCAGCCGCGCCTCGCCCAGCCGCTCCTCCAGCTGCGACACCTGTCGTCCTGCCGGCGGCCGGCGGCGACCGCACAGATCAGCGCGACGCCTCCCAGACTGCCCGTCTCGTGTGAGTCGTGGCACCCTTTCGGAAATAAGCTCGCTCACAATTATCATTGTCATGAATTTGCATTGCGCCTGCATGTATTACTACGCCCCACAGTCTTTTTGGCTGCAGCTGCCTGCTGCTGACGCTCTGGTGCGTTTTGAGGTTTGAATCGCTGTCTCATCTTTCAGGGAGAATACACCAAGACAATCATAGAAAACAATGCGCTGTTGTCTGCTCGGTCCCTGCCCGACCCTCGCAGTGCTCGACGCTGCCGCTGCCATGTACCCCGCGGTGGTCCCGCCCGACTCTCACGGTGCTCGGCGGCACGCGCAGCGCTAAGCTCTGCCTCCAGCCGGGCCTCGGACGACTCGTCGGCGGCGCGGGCGGCGTCCAACCGGCAGCCGGCCAGCTCCTTCTCAGCTCGCTTCAGCGCCTTGTTCAGCCGCACCACCTCCTCCAGCATCGGTGACTGCAGCCGGGGAAAGGGGATCAGACGGGCGGCGGGGGTCTGAGGGGTAGGACTGGGTAGGGAGCCATTGTGCGAAATGCCAACCACACGCGCACAATGTTAACATCATTCAACCACGTGGCATATCTGCAATATCTGACAGATCGAGTCTGAATCACAGAGGCATCAGAGGCCGAAGCATGAGCTTCTTCGTAAAATCAGGCTGTGGAGCAGGATCACAACGAACCTCGCTTCACGGCGGCAGAGGCACACACGAATAAAACCCAACGTAAACCCAGCCAACACGCCACTCGTGAAGGCATGCGACTCGACGTCCCACTTAGAACGCCTTCCTTCGGGATCGGAATCAATGGACTCGGATCGGGTCGGACCTCGGGACTCTCACAGCATCGGGATTCGACACCGGTGAATAACACAGCCTTTGGCGGCTGTCCTCGCTCCTCTCCCAGCCGCCAGCCGGGGGCCGCACCGTGCAGCCCCTCCCTGTCCCCTCACACACACACACCGGGGCACGACTCACCTCAAACATGTCGGTGAGCGGTGATTTGCCGGGGTGGGGCGAGTACGAGTAGAGGTCGGGCGACGGCGCGGCCGGCGAGCCGGGCGAGTCCACCAGACGGCGCAGCGACGCTGACGAGAGCCGCGACATCTCGGCTGCCGGAGACGCGCGCCGGGCGTCAGCTGGCCCGCTCGTCACGCGCGCCCGCCGCTCGCCAGGCGTCAGCGGTCTCGCTCATCACGCGCACCAGGCGTCAGCGAGCCCGCTCGTCACGCGCGCCAGGCGTCAGCGGGCCCGCTCGTCACGCGCGTCCCCAGACGCCGCCGGCCACGCTGCGCCACGGGCGCGTCCGCGTGGGGTCTGAGCCCCCACTGACGCACCGCCACAGCCGCCGTGAAGAGCACAGCCGCTGATTCACACGTGCTTTTCGAAGAGCAGACCAGTCATCACATCCCGCTTCAGCTCGGAAGAGAGGACTACTCTGGGGCGGTCGTATGACGCCATGCATCAGTTAAATAAAGCCGTTTAGAGCCGCGGGTTGATGTCCAGCAGCACGCACGGTGGATCGGCAGCTAGTTCCTCAAGGCAGCGGCTTCACCAACAGGCTGGCCGCGCTCCCACGTCTGCACAACACAGCACCACCCAGCCGCCACCGCCGAGGGCCTGCGGAGCCGGCGCGGCAGGGGGCCGGCGAGACATGCGCGCGCCGCCACAGGCCGGCCCGGTACGTACCGACGGCCGTCATCACCCCGGTCAGGTCCTCCCGGGTCACGTTGCCCGTCTTCATCAGCCGCTCGAAGATGAAGCGCATGTTCGTCTGTCAACCGGCGGCGGGTCAGCGGGCTGGCGCTGGGGCCGCGAGGGAGCCCCGGCCACCAGCGGACTGGCCGTGGCAGGCGACGGCCTCCAGCTAGCTGTCCCCCCAGCGGGCACCTCATGGCGGTCATGCTACGATGATACCCGGTAGCCGTTACCATCCGGCTATCTTACAGCCATCTCTGCCTTAACCGGGACGGCTCCGCCCAAGGTCATGGTGATGAGGCCAGCATCCCCCAGGTGTCAGCATGGAACCAAAGCAATTTGTGAAACACGATGCCTTGGAGTGCGGGGCACGTGTTGTAACACGCTGGTAAACAATACTATACACGGCCATTCAACGTGAGAGCAAGGCCATGAGCTCCCATATAAACAAGGTATTCATCTCTGAGCGGACCGATCGATCGCCCGCCGGGCCGAGGGATGGGCTGGTCCTGCCAAACAGTTTCCCAGATGTTTGTTTTCAAAACAGACAAAGCTTATCACCAAGAAGACACGTGAAATGCACATGCTGAGCACTGATAGCCTCACAGCCCCCAACACAAGGTGGAACGCGCAAGGTGGCAATCGCACGCGTCCCAATCGCCGAAAACTCGCGTAAAATCCTGTCCAGGCGGGCCAAAGTAGTGAAAAAATCGGCTCGCCAGCTGTTGTACATGACATCAAAACGTAAGGCAACAACCCACGGCTGCTTTCTGTCGGGCAGCTCTGACATCACTCACCTGCTCCTCGTCGGGCAGCTTCGGGGGCCGCCGCACCCGGTCTGTCGGGCAGCTCTGACGTCACTCACCTGCTCCTCGTCGGGCAGCTTCGGGGCCGCCGCACCCGGTCTGTCGGGCAGCTCTGACATCACTCACCTGCTCCTCGTCGGGCAGCTTCGGGGGCCGCCGCACCCGGTCTGTCGGGCAGCTGTGACGTCACTCACCTGCTCCTCGTCGGGCAGCTTCTGCAGCCGCCGCCGGAGGCGCCGGTCGGGCTCCTGCACGGCGGTGAGGTAGAGCAGCAGCAGGCCCAGCCGGAGCAGCTCCGACGGCTTCTCCTCGCGCACGCACGAGAACTTGACCGGGCGGCTCGGGTAGCGGGCTGCCAATGGTCACACCAGCGTCACCGACACCACGGGCGGCTCGGGTAGCGGGCTGCCAATGATTACACCAGCGTCACCGACACCACGGGAGGCTCGGGTAGCGGGCTGCCAATGATTACGCCAGCGTCACCGACACCACGGGCGGCTCGGGTAGCGGGCTGCCAATGATTACGCCAGCCGTCACCGAGCCACACGGGCGGCTCCAGGTTAGCGGGTGTCAATTATTACCACCCAGCGTCATCCCGTACACCACGGGAGGCTCGGGTAGAGGGCTGCCAATGATTACACCAGCGTCACCGGACACCACGGGAGGATCGGTTAGCGGGCTGTCAATATTACGCAGGCGTCCCGATACCACGATGGCGGCTAGGGTAGCGGGTGCCATGGTCTTCACCAGCGTCACTGGACACCACTGGCTTCTCGGGTAGCGGGTGCCAATGGTCGTCACAGCGTCACCGACACCACGGGGGCTCGGGTAGCGGGTAAATGGTCGCACCAGGCACTGACCACGGGCGGCTCGGGTAGCGGGCTGAAAATGATTAGCCAGGTCACAGACACCGGGCGGTTGTTCGGGTAGCGGGATGCCAAATGGTCGTCCCAGCGTCACAGACACACGGGCGGGCTCGGGAGCGGGCTGCCATGTTCGTCACCAGCGTCACCGACACTACGGGAGGCCCGGGCAGCGGGCTGCCAATGGTCACACCAGCGTCACCGACACCACGGGCGGCGGCCATGGGTGCCAGCGGCGTCGGGCGTTGGCAATACTTGTTTAGGTCTGATAGGTTACTCCGTATGAAGCCCGTCATGTTAGAGTTCATCGTCTTCGCCGTACCGGCATAAGCAAAAAAGGCAAATAAGGCATCACAAACTATCAGCTGTCAGGGGAATTATGCAATTTTTGGGGGGGATTGGCGGAAATGTATTGCGTTAAAAGCCTACAACAGGATTTTGCACCACACCATCATTGCAACTATATGTTGAAAAGACAAACAAGAAAGCCAGAAGGTAGACACTAACCATTGATAAAGTCTTCCAGGGTGGTCAGAATGTGGCCACTTTCTTTACAGAACTTGAGCTTGCTGCAAAAAAAAACTGCAATCAGGATAGACAACCAGAACATACATTTAACACTGCAGTGAGACACGCAAATATAAGCACACGAACTGCACCTAGACAGGCATGCTGATGCATGAAATAAACAAAGTGACTTAACAGACCATGAAATGCAAAACTCGATTTATGCTGCAGATGGCAATGCTAAACAGGTCACATTATCCTTGTTCTGACCACAAAACTTTGTGATACAGTGGAAACTGGATGCAATAACCTGGTGTAAGCTAAAGCTTAAGCAAGCTAAATCGCCGACAGGAAAAACTCACAATTGTTCCAACACAGTATACAGAAAGTTGGGCTCCAGAATATCTGGTAGACCTGTAGCCGGTGATGCTCGGTCGTACAGGTTCATCTGGAATCCATCGCACGCTCATGTCAGTACCATCATGGGAGACAACATCCTAATGCGGCTGATCCTTGAAAAACTGGCAGTGATTGCTGTTGCATAAGCGAACTAGAGTAATTACCATCAGGGTCGCGGATATAGCACGCGGATATAGTGCGTCCTTACATCAAGCAAAACAAAATGTTGTGGCTTCAGCGGCCCGACCGGTCCGACCACTCACGCTGTTGAGGGGTTTTTATATTGTAACCACTGAATGTAACACCAGGTAGCTTTTGGGAATAAGTGGCGCAAATCTTTAAAAGTCGCGCGGTGACGTAGTGTCGTTATCCTGGACACAAGATGTTTGATCAGGTGGCGTTTCCCCGCAGCGTCGCAAAATAAGTACCATGGAGCCGTCTCCACTCGACAACATCGGGCCGTGAAACTAGCGTACAGTGAGCAGTTAGAGGAGGCGGTCCGACGCCAGCTCCAGATAACGGGCGTCCATTGTCACGAGTCTTCGTGCGCTAGTGATCGGCCCATGCAAGGGCTTCTTCAGCGATCGATGTCAGATATGAGCAGCCACAGCAAGGAGTGGCGTTAAATTATGTACCTATTGAGCAATTGAACAATGCTTCTAAGTTAAGGTGATATTTTCATTCTTCGTGCGAGATACGGAGGTTGAGCCTATGATGAATGAAAAATCAGTGTACTGGCAGCACGCAGTAACCCTGGGGCGGGTAGCGTGCAGATCTCTTGTCTTTTGACAGGGACACATTGTTAATCCCTTGCCTATTCAACATTTTGCTCAGGAGGTTGGTATCCCTAGGCTGTCAGACACCCCATCTGTCACCATGTCACTGGTCATGCACAGAAAAATGCATCCTAGTGGTTCAAAAACTAAAAAGGAAGGACTTGACATGATAGTTGCACATTGCCATACTCTTGACTTTGTTAACTTTCCCTGTTGACATCAAACCAGTACATGGGTATTCAAAGCACCAAGGGCCTTTGATAGCCTACCATGAAAATCACACTGCCTCAAAAGTCATGAGAAACTTTGAAAGAAAGGTCCCAAAAAATAATTTGTGAATGTCAGTTCTAATGAATGGCTCTTAATTGGTGAGACTTATCTTCTATAACAATTATACAAAATGATAATCAGCAAATTGTGTAAATAAACATACCCATTGCACCACAATGTCTTCAACACGGTCCATGTCTGTTCAGATTTCACAGCAGAAGAGCCTGAAAAAGAAAAGTGATGTCAGTTGCCTTATCACTTCCGAATACTGCAGTCAAGGAAAACAGTAACATCTTGGACCAACTTCATAAACCAGGCAGCGTGGCACTGAGCTTCAGATGACAGGAATGTACTAACTGGGATGAATATACCTATATGGTATAAGCAAAATAGATGAGCATTATCAGAATTTTTAAGTCTCATAATTTAGGCATACATGGAAACAGAGAGCTCACAGGTCCAAGGCAGCAACACTTATATTATGTTGGCAAACATCAGCATCTGCATGTGGTGGAAGCCCCATCATATTTTGAACACAACCTTGCAGACAGAAAACACAAAAATTTACAGATCAAAATGATACCATTGTTAGTTCCAAAAAAAATCCTTTCCATGATATCCCTAGTCCTACATTAAAGAAGGATGATACCTAAAAAAAGTACAAAATCCACTTAACACACATAACCCTACCAATGCTTGTTCCACCCAGCAAACAGCATAAATTTTGTGCCTATATTTTTAACTCTACTGATCTCTTTCCATTGCAAACCTCAGACTAAAAGACATAAAATGCCCAGCAGCCAGTGAAAAAAAAATCCAAAACTGGTTTACATTGATTTAGAAAATAACCTACCCACCCCACATGCACACAAGTTCTACACAGGTATCTATTGCTCTGCACTTTATGAGACCCTGTGGGGATGGTTGGATATTGAACAATTATGTTCAAGTAGCTACTTTTGTGCCCATCTTCCAACCCAATGGAACATCCCAAAATTGATTGGCAAATCTAGATATCTATGTGCACCCTTGGCCCTGTCTGCAACATACACATTACACACATGTCCTGCATAGCAGACATCACAGGAACAACTTCAGTGCATGCACTTCATTGTAAAAGCAATCTAAGCACTAGTTGCTGCATGGTCTGTACCAGATGCAGTGCACAGATCCAATGCTCAAGGAAAATGTGATGTTGGGAAAGAGGTGGTGGTATTCAATGCCCCGCAAAAAATATAACAAAAATTACAAAGCTTAGTGCAATTTGGCCCAGACTGGCTCAGCAAATGCGAGCATAAGGTTCTGAGCAACGATGTCGCCTAGGTGCTCGGCGCAGTCTTAGGATTTTGGCAGGCTGATGCACAGCCTAGCCTACGATCTTGCTTCAGCATGTCCAACGGTAAGGAGGTGGACCCGTCACCTACACGACAGCGCCAACCAAGGAGAAACAGGAACGGCATCTTATAGAAAAAAATGGTTCTTACACAAGCGGTGGGAGAGCGTAAAATATTGTAATCTTAAGGCAAATGCATGTATAATCACAATTCAACCACCGCAGCCACGCAACGGTGCCTTTCCCACTGTCAAATTCAGCTGACGTCGGACGCGATTTCCGGCCCTGCTGATTGGCGGATGCCGTCATTGACCAACAGACATGTGGCAGCCAATTTGTGAAACTATCGAAGACACAACTACGTCGAGTTCTCATAAGCCACATCTAGCTATCGGTTATTTCGGACAGCACACTCCATGTACAGAAGAAAAAACAAATAGCTTAATTTGATAGTTATTTTATCTTTATGCGATGTGATTAAGCGGGATGTGAAGCATACGTTCGTTGACCGCCAGCTCCAACTGTCACGATTGGAAACTTCTGCGATGACGATTCTTGTACTGACTGACGCCAACTATTGCAAAACTTGATGTTAATTTTCTCGAATTGAATTCAGTCAGCCTTGTCTTATGCGATTCTTATCCTTGACATAGCAAAAATGGTTTCCTTTTGGTTTTTCTTGTTTCTCTGCACTGTAATCACTAATCCCTTACATAGTAGACCTACACGGCAACAAAAAGTACTGTTTTGGTGAAATTATGATTTATGCACGATTTGTAAGTGTCAAGACTTATGACTTATGTTACCGTGGATCTCTTGATGAGACAAAGCTATGCTGAGTTATAAAAGAATTTGCTGAGTCAAATGTATGCAGCACTTTAGAACAACCTGCTTACATCACATATCGTACCTTGAGTCAACTTAGCCAATTTGGCGCCGGCTGGGAGAGGCCGTTTGGGTGTGGGGTGATACCCGTCCGCGCGCGGGTAAATGTCGGTTTTCGCGGTCGCCGGCTTTGTTTTCGGATCCAATCCTATCAAATAGGTAAGTTCATGTACCTTTGTTTACTGTATCAGACCTTGTCGCACTTCGGAGTCATCTGAAACCATGCGTCAGGATGGTCGCTGGCTCATTCCGATGCGGGTTGGACGGATTTTTTACTTTTGATTGTTGTTGAGGTTGTTTGGCGTACAAGCTCTTTGTCTTATAAATAGTGATATCGAGTGTAACTTGCCAACCGAACGTTTTTATGAGGCTCTCACCTCCCAATGCTGTTTCCACGTACTGTGCTGTGTGCATCATTTTAAGGTCAGTCCATGACTTGAAGAAAATTTGGAAATTGTATAAAAAGTCAGTCCATGGTGCTTGTCATGAGGAGATGAGGAGCATTCACCTACAGCCAGACAGTAGTCTTATGGTGAGGCCACTAGTACAAAGGTTCTAAAATTGTCCCAGGATTGTGTGAATCCATGGTCATTTGCACCCATTAAATACCTGATCCTAGTGCCCAAACTACAAAAATGCACTTTATGCTGAATGTGTGTAGCATGGACAGAGACATTGGGACTGATCCTGCTTCTCCTCAAAGGAAAGATGGCATTTGTTTGGAGGAGGTTGGAGGAGCACAGAGTGCATCAAATCTGCTCAAAGTCTGCTGTCATGCCACATAAATGTTTTTTTAGAGAGGGTATCAGCTGACTGCAGGACAATTCAACCCAACCCAAAAATTTTGGCATGCTGACAGCAAATAATGCTGAATCCTGGGTTCACTGAAAAATACATCCTTAAAAATGCAAAGGTATGTGATATTTATGCCTTATATGAAGATAAAACTATAAAGAATGGCTTCAAATCTCACCTACTGACATAAATTTATGCACCTATCATTTGCTTCTGTTAAGTGACAACAAATAGAGACGTGAATAAGCCATGCCACAAACCCCTAACACAGCCGCCTCCAAGCTCCTCTGAAAAAACACCTTGCACTCTAGAAGAGGCTCAGAGTGAGCTTTGAGGAGCTTCAAGGAGGTTGTGGGAGCCATAGGGATGATCAGATTGATTTGGAGAAGCTTTGAGGAGACAAGAGAGGCAATATAAACAGGCCTATTCAAGCAAAATTTTTAGTGGATGTATAACTTGAGTCTGAGTGCAAAGAGTTTGGCATGCGGTTTTTGTTTTGTTTTTTTGTTTTCTTTTTCTGTGCACAGTGTATACCAAACTCAGACCACGTCAACTTTGAATGAATTTTTAGCTTGAGTTGTGTCTGAAAATGTCTTTGAAACATGTCAGCTTAGAGATCTGCCATGTTTTGAAGACTGACCCATCACACTTTACAGAATATTTTGGTAATGTTTGACCAGGAGCTTAAGACTAGCATGGCATGCATTGTTTAGTTCATTAGTGATCCTTTCTGGGTAGAGGTGAAAAAGCTGTTTGAACAGGAATTCATTTCCTATGGTCTAGGGCAGGGATTAAGCATTGGGAATATAGCTGCTGCTGGTGCAGGGCTCTCAATCTGTAATTAAGTATTAATGTTCAGATCTGTATTCAGACAAAACTCGCCATAAGTCATACTTGTATGTCATGGCAAGCAACAACACAGGGATGAGACAGTGTTTGAAGTGGCTTTGATGCGGGTTGATCCCATATATCCTGGGTTTCAGGGATTTTGGAAGCTACTGTGACATCTCATGAGGCTGAGCTTCATTGAGTTGATATTGTATGTGTTTTGGTTTAATTGCTGCTAACCCTGACTTCCAAGACTTTCTAGTGTGTTTGGTATACAGTAAAGCAGAGTATGTGCCTTACTTACATATATGGGAGACTACATAACACTAAACTTGCATTCTGTTTGCAGTGTGAGAGCTACCAATTCTGTTACTGACTGAAATACCTTGCTTACATGGAAATAGCTTAAGGCTGTTGTAAAAAATAATAAAAGAGTAGATGCTGTGTATTTTTTATGTTAGCATTTCTAGTCTCAAGATTTCTACTCATTGTAAAACCCATCTCATGAGAATGTGCTTTCCATCATCTATAGAACATTTCTGATTTGAAAAACTAAGTTATGGCTGCATTACACATAGTAAGGTTTTAATAATTTATCAAGCATGTGTTGAAGACTTTAAATTGGATTATGTTGGCCTTTTCACTGTGTATCGGGTACTAAAATCATACAGCTGCTCATTGTGAGACCCATAGTTCACTAGATGCTTCCTATTATCTAAAATTTGTTGTTTTTGTTTAGAAACCTTGGGCTTAACTGACTGCCTACTACACTGCTTAACTAACTGACAAGACTAACATGTACAAGTTCTTTGATATAGGTTGTGTTAGCCTATGCACCTTGCATCAGGCAACACTGCTTATCTGCAGAATTATTTTGGCCATTGTTGTGTGTGCTCACAATGGCTGTGTTTTTTCTTGATCCTGCTCTGTTGCATGATCTGATGGTATCATGCACCTGTTCTAGTGTTGCCAAGTGCTGTTGGGGCGTCCAGAGCTATGCAGACCCTGTCACTTGTTGCATAGTTGTCTCCCAAGTCGGGTGCATGCTAAGGTTCTGAACACTAGTTATGTGTTCAGTCCCATCATAAGTATGGAGATTAGTGCAGTTTACCTGTGCCAGCTGGCCCTGTGTCTTGTTCCCATATGATTATTACTGCTGCCTGCCTGCTTTCCCAGGACATCTGCATCTCTGTCGTGATTGTCCGTGTTTTGGTCACAGATCTATGTATGTCTTGATCCTGGTTGCTTTGTGTCTGCTATGCCTCGGTTAAGTCGCGGGCTCCCAGTGTGTTCTCACCAGTCCTTTTTTGTCATGTCTCAGTGAAGCTCATGTCTGGTTCTTTGCTGTCTCCATGGCTTGATGTTGCACATGTCTGCCTCTTAGCTGTCCCCCATCTTAGTGCTGGTCATCTCAGCATCACACCTATGGTCCTCCCAACATCCTGGCTGCATCAGTGTATCAGTGCTTGCCTTGGTATGTCCCTGATGTGTCCCAGCTCTGTCCATGTCGCGGCACCAGTTGTCTTCCCCTCCCCTCCCCCATTCCCACCAGCAGTCTTCTGCGTGCCCCCATCCCCACTCACGGTCGTCCCCCCTTCGCCCCGGTCCCCGCTGCCATCTTACCGCACCCGTTTTCTATCGACTCCCTCCCCCTCCCTCCGTTCACGGCCGCCACCGACCTGTCCCCACGGCTAGTGTCCTGAGCCCCGCTCAGCGGCGACCGCTGGTGCCCGCTGACAAGCGTCTGGGCTCCGGCAGCGCCAGCTTCGCCGCCCTGGTGCCGGCCGGCGGCGCCCCCCGGCTGCAGCCGCCCGCCGCCCCACCGCCAGCCATGCCGCTGGTCAGCCGCGCGCGCGTCTACGCAGAGGTCAACTTGCACCGGCCGCGTGACTACTGGGACTACGAGTCGCACGTGGTGAACTGGGGGTACGTGCCGGCGACGGCGGGGGGGGGGGGGGGGGCTTGTGGGGAAGGTGACGTTGAGGGATCAGCTACTGACATTGCTGTGGGTGGATCATCCTGATGAGAATGATGCGCCCTGTGGTCTTGGATTCGGGCGTATTATTGATGTCTCCCATAAGCTTCGCGAGAGTAGGTGGACTGCATCACTCAATTTCTCAATAAAAATAACTGTGCTGATAAGTCTTAAAGTTGGCTTGGTTTTCTAGCTCAGGTGTGATTTTTGTCTGAACTCAGCTGCATGGGCTCAGTAAACCATGTCATATTTGGGCACCTGAATATAAGATAAGGTCGTTACCTCGTCTTGTGGTAGATCGTGGGGATTTTGGCTTCCATTGCAATCAACTGAGTGATAAATGTCCTTTTCCAGCCAACAAGATGATTATCAACTGGTTCGCAAGCTGGGTCGGGGAAAGTACAGTGAAGTGTTTGAGGCAATTAACATCAACAACAATGAAAAATGTGTCGTGAAAATATTGAAGGTAAGTAATGTGTGGATAAGGCATAAGGTAAAGCTATACAAGCGCGTGGTTGCAGGTTCCACCACGAATCATCTTGCTCATAGTCTTAGCCAGCCTCGCTACATGAGATCTCTTAACGAACCCAGCCTCCTACTGCCCTCCAGAATACACAGTGCAGCGCGTCGCTCCGCAGCCCTGTCCGGATAGCGCCTGTGGTCAGTACCCTGCCGCGGTGAATCCCCGCCCAGCGTGTCACTGGAGCGCGCGCCGCCCGCTGTCCGCGTCCTGTTCGGCTCCTGCTGCGCCACGCTCGGCGCGGTTTGCCCCGGTGGTGCTTTATCAGCCGTGTTTACGTCATGCCAGAGACGATGCCAGGCTGTGTTTCGACCCACCTTAAGACACCCCGGCAGACACGAGTTGGTCGCGTGCCGCCGCGCGTCTTTTGTGCGTGTTCAGGTCATGTGTCGTGCCCTGCGTTCGAAAAATTAAAATGTTTCTATGAACAAAGTTTGCATGACAAATAGTAAAAACAGGTGTTGCTCAAATTCCAGAATGTGTTTCAGCCGTTGAAGGGATCGGGTCCATGAACAAGTTTCTGGATTGTATGATTTACAGTGAAGGGCTTTTGGTAAAGAGGCGATTTCTCGACCCGTTCCAACGAAAGCAACAAGCTTGTTGTCGCTTGTGCAGTGGAAGCCTCGGCTCCCGTGAATATATCGTTAAACGATGAGCAGCACGCATTATTGCGGCTGCCCCTGTAGTGTTTTTGCGTCTTGAGGTTCTCATGAAAGTGAAAACGGTGCATACGGAACAGCAAGAAAGTTATGACAAAAGCATTAGCATGATTCCTTGTAAGAATGGTGGGCGTTACTATCCGCTTGCAGCACATGGCCGCGGCGTGCGCGCCGGGTGCCCGTCTGGCCCCTCCCGGCCGGTGCCCGGCGCCTCCGCTCATGCGCCGGACGCGGCGGTGGTCCGGGCGGTCCGCGCTGGCCAGATGCGGGGCCCGAGTCCGTCCGGGCCCGGCCAGGCAGCTGCCGCAGGCCGCCAATCCGCCAGCACCGCGTGCGGAACGTGGCCCGGGCAGGCGCCGACTGCACTACCTAGCTGAGGATTAGAATATGCGGGCGGACTCGGTGCGGATCTGGACGTCGGCCTGCGCTAGGTATAGTTTTATGGCAGCAGATACGGTTGCCCTACAGCGATTAGATGATGCAGTTATGACCATTGTCACGGCATGTACACTTACCTTTACACCCATCCGTTCCATGTAACTATTTATGACGTTTCTTAATCATTTGGACTTGCCGTGGGCTTGTTGTTTGGACTGTCTGTTGCGAAACGTTGCGCCCCTCTGGTGGCGGGCAGCGCCGGTCCACAGCGGCGCCACGCTTGCCCTCGGGGCCAACTCTGTCGCCGGCCAAGGGAGTCTGACTCGCCGCACTCCTCCCCCAGCCCGTGAAGAAGAAGAAGATCAAGCGCGAAATCAAGATCTTGGAAAACCTGCGCGGCGGTACGAACGTCATCACGCTGCAGGCGGTGGTGAAGGACCCGGTGTCGCGCACGCCGGCGCTGGTCTTCGAGTACGTCAACAACACCGACTTCAAGCAGCTGTATCAGACGCTCAATGACTACGACATTCGGTTTTACCTGTACGAGCTGCTGAAGGTGAGTGCGTGGCGGGAGTGGTGTGCGGTTGGTGGCGTGCTGGGACCGAACACAGTGTCGAACACGGACGCGCCGCCAATGTCGTCGACGACCGCTGCCGGTTAATGTGGGGATGGCTAATTACGGGGTGGACTGGCTGCCCTGTACCGAAGCTGCTTCTTAACAGCCCCTCAAAGACGTGCCACGTCGCCCACGCCTCCCGCTGCAGGGGAACCCTCACGATCCCGCCACCGTGAACGCTTGACGTGTGTAGAGAGAGCGGGACACCGCCCCAGCAGCGGGAGCGGCGCCTGACGGCTGGGTGTGTCACGGCGTCTGTGGCCGTTCCCCAGGCGCTCGACTACTGCCACAGCATGGGCATCATGCACCGGGACGTGAAGCCCCACAACGTGATGATCGACCACGAGAACCGCAAGCTGCGCCTCATCGACTGGGGCCTGGCGGAGTTCTACCACCCGGGCCAGGAGTACAACGTGCGTGTCGCCTCGCGCTACTTCAAGGGCCCCGAGCTGCTCGTCGACTACCAGGTGAGCGGCCGGCGGCCGGTGTCTGCCGCGGCTGGACGGTGGGTGGCGCTGGAGGCCTGGGAGGCTCGTCGCCTGGTGTGACCTGGCGCGCGCGGACGGCGACCCGGCGAGCGTCGGTGATGACCTGCGGCTGGTGCTCGTGACCTCCTCGCGTCTGCATGCATGTTGCTGGCCTGACGTGACCTGCACGGGTGTGGCTGGCGGCCCAGTGAGCGACTCTGGTGACCTGGTGCTCTGCTCTGTTGATGGCGCGGCTGGTGACCCAGCGAGCGGCACTTGTGACCTGGTGCTCTGCTCTGGTGACATCGCGACCTGACGATGTCGCGGTTGTGGCCAATGGCTGGCGTCGGCATCGGGACCTTCGAAGGCATGTCGGGAGCTCTCATTGACCTGAGGGCAGCCGCAAGTGTCTTGACGCCGGGCTTGGCTACGAGTGGTTTTCGACGTTCTCCTTATCAGTGGGCCTGACGGCTAGCCACGCTGCTGTGCGTGATTGTGACGCAGACGCCGACGGTGAGGGGCGGGTGACGTCATACAGCCTCAGCAGCTGAGCACGTCCTTAAACCCAGCTGACGGCGAGGACTGACGACGCCGCTGACCAGAGCAGTTACGCGCTGCGAGAAAAGCGGCAGCAGTCTGCATGTCGACGTCGCGACCGCCTCTCTGCCCTGAAATCTGGCAAACGCTAGACGATGAGCTCACTGGATACTGGCCTCAAGCCGGCCAGACGGAGATGGCGACCAGTGTCCCGTACCCGATCTTGCCAGGCGTACAGTACAGGTGCTGGAAAAAGCTTGCTGGCGCCGCCGCTTTCTTGGTGGTGTAGAACTCACGCCCCCCCCCCCCCCCCCACAGCATCCTTCCCCCCCCCCTCTCACAGCCCCCTCCCCCCCCCCCCCACCGCTGGCTGTCATCTGGAACGACTGGAACGACTCCTGTGTGGGCGACTGACCGTCCGCCGGCGACTTCTTCCCACAGATGTACGACTACTCGCTGGACCTTTGGTCGCTTGGCTGCATGTTGGCCTCGATGATCTTCAGGAAGGAGCCGTTCTTCCACGGCCATGACAACTACGACCAGCTGGTGCGGATAGCTAAGGTGTTGGGCACCGAGGAGCTGTTCGAGTACCTGGACAAGTACCAGATCGAGCTGGATCCACGCTTCAACGATATTCTCGGCAGGTGGGTGATCAGGGCGTAGTGAGCCGAGATGCTGCCCATTGGCACACCAAAATTTCGGTAAAGCTGGCGCAAACACGCCTGAGATATGTGCACAATTCGCCCCCTCCCCACCCCCCTCCCACACCTTCAAGTAAAAAAACACTCAGATATGGTGGATTTTCTACGATTTCGACTGGTTTCGAATGTGAGCACTGTGAGTCTCCGCTGCGTTGACTCCTTTCAGTGGATGGGGAGCACGTGTGGGCCAGAACCGCGCAGCACAACTGCGCGAACGCACGGAGTCTGTGCCCATTCGCCTCTCGTGCACGCAACAGCAGATCCCATGGGTGCGCCGCGCCCTGTTCCGTCCGTCACCATGTAGCGGCGCCCCAGATCAGTTGTCGAGGGCGGCTACACCAGCGATGCCCCCCCGTCGCTAGGCACTCGCGCAAGCGCTGGGAGCGGTTCGTGCACGCCGACAACCAGCACCTGGTGTCGGCCGAGGCGCTCGACTTCCTCGACAAGCTGCTGCGCTACGACCACCAGGAGCGGCTGACGGCCCGCGAGGCCATGGAGCACCAGTACTTCTGTGAGTGGCGTCCGTCGCCCGGGGCGGGCGGGCGCACCTGTGCCCGGTCGCGGCACGGTGCTGTGGTGGCTCTGTTTGTCATCGGACCTTTTATGGGGGCGGCTGGGAAGCGCGAGGAGGGCCAGCACAGCTCATTGGCTATGCGCCTTATGTAGAAAATGTGAAGGTTAAAGGCTTAAAGGCAGACCTTGTGATATGAAGGTCGCGTCTCTGTTGATCTGGCCAGGCCTGTGGCGTTCGTTACGGACTGGTTTACGAGGGGCTGACTCTTAGCCCGGAACGCCTGAACAGGTCAATCATTGACATTGCTTTCTACGAATGACTTCGCGTTGCGGCAGATCGACAACGAAAACTCGGACGACAAACATCGAATGCGCAGCCCGAGGCCGCGTCCAAACTTGTCTGTCGTTTCTGCTCCCGGGATGTGCTGTTAGATGGCGCTTCTTGCCAAACGTGGCGCCTGTCTAGGCCTGCCACTCATCGGCGGTCGCTGCTGGCCGCCCGTGCCTGTCGTCTGAATGGCGCTGATCGCGGTGCTCTGTCAATATTGCGAGATTCGTCGGGCACATTTCCTGTATGCGGCATTCCTATCCAATCTCGGAAAAGTCCCGATTGGCTGTCTCGCGGTGAGTCCACGTCATGCCGCCGCCGAGGACAATGTCCGCCGCTCTGAACTCTATCTCTGATATATTGACACGTGACGGGCTCATGCCAGCGCCACAAACCGGTCTGGCGGCCGAGATTGTGGCGTGTTGGCACGCGGCATTCATACCTGCTTATTTAACACCCATTTCGAATGGCTTTTGGGAGCACGGCTAAATCGCCCCACCCGGCCGGCTGGTCTCTTGCGTCCACACACACACTCTCTCACGCCTTGCGCATCCAGCCGCCGGCTCCGTGGAATCGGCTGTCGCGTGCGCGGCTGAATCCCGCTTACTTGATTATTTATGGCGCATTATTGGAAGGGTTTCCTGTAATGCTGCGTTTAGCGACTATGAGTATTAATGAATGTATGAAAGTTGTTGCTCTTGTTGTGCATGGGGCCATATATTTCCGGAATATCTATTTGCGGGTTGGTGGTGTTTGCGTGTGGGCCAGGGTAGTCGTGTAAAGGAAGTGACTGCATTTTACCAAGTTTCGGTTTTCGCTACGGCCTTTTATGATGCATCGGAGAGCCGCAGTAGAGCCTTGCCGTTATTTTCAGCAGGCTGGTGAGGCCGTGAATAGCGTATGAAGGATTCGTAGCTTCCCAGCTGTCACCAAGTGGATAAAGTGACGTTCTTGATGCAGACATTGTGACTATGACAACCGTTAACCAGGCTCAGCTCTCCACGCCCGTCTCCTCGCTCTGTCCTCCTCTCCCTTCTCTTTACTCCCGTCTCCTCTCTCTGTTCCTCGCTCCCGTCTCTCCTCGCTCTGTCCCCCTCGCCCGTCTCCTCGCTTTGTCCTCCATTCTCGTCTCCTCACTCCCGTCTCCTCGCTCTGTTCTCCACTCCCGTCTCCTCCTTATGTCCTCCGTCCCCATATCATCGCTCTATCCTCCAATTCCGTCTCCTCACTGTCCGCCACGCCTTGTGTCCCCACTCAAGCTCCAAATCCCCGCCGCCGTCGGGTTTCGAACCCGCGCCGCCCGTGGGCTGACGCGCGCCTCGTCCCGGCAGACCCGATCGTGAAGGACTCGGCGCGCCAGCAGTCGATGTCGTCGTCGCCGACGTCACTGTCGGGCGCAGCCGGTGGCGGCCTGCCCAGCTCGCCGGTCATGTCGCCGGCCGCGCCGTCGCCGGCCGCTGCTGGCCAGTGAGCCGCGCTGGCCGCGTGTGTCGGCACCCGTTGTGGCCCTGCGTCGGGCCCGTGTGAGCCGGGGCCGCGCTGCGTGCGGCCCTGGCCGGCTGATGCCGCCACGCGGCTGCCTCCGCCGCCGGAGCTGATGATGAGTCCGGCTCGGCGGCTGCCGCGACTCCGGCTCCGTGGAGAGCAGCCGGCCAACTGATCACGGCCGGGAAGGAGCTGTGGTGGTGTGGTAAGACGGCGGTCGCAACAGCTGCGAAACCTCCCGGCAGCGTCGAAGGGTGAGGCGAGACCCGGGACAGTTTGGTGCAACGTTAGCGACAGGTTCCTGTGAGGACTGGGTGCGGTGCGATCGGCCCCGCGACAAGGGGATAGATTACGGGACATCGTGGCGTAGGGGGAGAGGTTGGTAGCCATCACACCATGGCGGGACGAGTTCGGGCCTCTGCTGGGCGCAGCGGGACGAGCCTGGCCTCTGCTGGGCACGGCCCAACGAGCCTGGGCTCTGCTGGGCACAGCGGGACAGGTCTCGGGGTGGCCCGGTACCGTGGAACAGCGCGTGCCGGGCGGCGATGTGTTACGTGTGCTGACGCACCTCACCTGCCACTGTTCTCGGGGGCATAGTGTTCGCACGGACCGGGCTCTCTTCAGCGCCGAGGTTCGTGCCGAGTTTTGAACGCGAGCGGGGTTACGTTCCGGCTGGTGTTGTGCTGCGTCGCGCGTGCGCATGCGTGCGGCGTTTTCACGTGCGTGAGAACTGTAGTCTGTTGTGAGCTGGCATGCGCGCCGGGGAGTTCTGAGTTGTGATGGAGGCGGTAGTCGGTCGGGTGTTCGGTTACGTGGAACCTGTGTCGATCGCCTTTGCAGAGGTGGCGAATGCCGCTGGCTTGCGCGTGTTGTGAAGTCTGGCGAGGGTCCGCGACCTGCCAGGACGGTGTGAAAGTCTGCCTGCTCATGAGCTACCGCGCCCTGGGCTCCGCGGGGTCCGGGCGGGTCGGCAGACCTCCGGTTGCATTGCTCCGTGTACTCATAACGAGAGTATTTAACATTCTCCATCAGTTGTGTTGATCGTGTCTCACTTGTGTCAGCTGCAGCTAATACAAGATGCAATGGACCTCGTGCGAGCGGCGTGTGCGGTTTGTCCGGTGAGACGAACTCTCCAAGGTTAAAAGTGCTCCGAGCAGTTTAATGTTTAGACGCTGCGCCCCGCTTGTAGACATGAGTTGAGAGTGCGGTGGTTTACCCTCGTTTCTGGGTCAGCGGCCCGTAAGGGTCACGTGGAGGCCACCGTCGAATCACGGCGGGAAATTGTGAGGCTGTGTACTGCGGCAGCCATTAATACTGGTCACGCGCTTCTGGAATGCTGTTCACATGACGTGGGGTCAATGGTCGAAGTAACCGGCCGCTTACTTGCCAGGGACTAAGGCATTCTGAATCGGAAAGAAGCTCTCGAGCCAGCTGTAATTCGCCCCGGGCGACTGATCAGATGTTTGCGCGTACTAATTTCCATGCTTACAAGCATTCTGTTTCTCCAATTAAATGCAACGGTAACGCCGACTTCCCCGCATCCTGGACCGGGCAAGGTCGCATGGCTTCTACTGGACCGCTCGGGTAGAGTGGAGACGCCGGGCGCCGTTGGTCCGTTAGCTTCCCTGCGCCGGGTCTGGGCGCCACGTCAATTTGTTCCACGGCGAGTGCCGGCGCGGTTACGGCGGCGCGCTGCGACGTTGCCGGGGTGAGCTTGTGCCACTGTTGGGTTGATACAGGTGCGTGAGGAGGGCATGTGGGCGTGTGCGTTTAATATTGTGATAGTCGTGTAAATACATTTGTAATTGTTGCTGAAGACAAGTGAGATCTTTAAAGCCACAAAATCTGTAGGTAGGCGCTAGTTTGTGCGTGGGGGTTGTGTCACAAAAGGGCATTAGTGTACTAAACATTGATGTCAGCAGCTGTGTTAGAATGCTTGCATCAAGTTCAGCACTATTAGGTTGACCTGATTTTCTACAATGTTCTCAATACAATACATGGTTGTCATTAAGTAGTAATCAAGGTTTTGTGTGGAATGGCTGGTGCGCTCAGTGTTGGTGTAATGTAACATTCAGAGTATTGTCATTGTAGGCTGCAACTCTAAATAATGAAAACTAGCATGAAACTTAGACAGTATTGGTATCAGTGTGCATGTTTAAGCTTCTAGCACATTTTTTCACCTCTATGATAGCAAGAAGGGCAATGAAGAGTGTTACTGCACCTGCCAATTGATCAGTTCTTTAGTGACATGGTATGTCCACAATATGTCAGCTACAAAACTGTCATGCTCTTCAATCATTGGCCCTTACTTTGGTATGTGGTATAGTGGGTTTGGCACTGGTCATGCCAACTTCGAGGTTTTGGCACAAATGTTGTTAGATTGGCAGCCGTTCTGCTCTGTTCATATCTATTCTTGATGTATGCCACTGCTGGATCTAAAGGAGTGGGGAAACAGGTGGATATTACTGAAGGTATTAGAAAAATAAGTTGTCTGTTTTAGTGGCTCAGCTGGCTAGAGCACCTGCCTTCCAATGCATTTTTTAGAGCTCTGATTTCACAAATATGTCTTCCCAAAAAGTACAATTTGATTATTTTGTAGATTTATATAATAGCTGTTAGGTGTTATCACATCTCTAGAGATGGTTTTGCTAGTATGTGCTGTATATAGGGGTTCTGCCCTCCATCCTATTTTATAGCAATGCACAGTGTTAACCCCATTTGGTTTAAGGGCTACCTTGTTGACTGGTGGTAGGTGGTGAGAGGTCTCCCTCTTTGCCTTTTGCATGCCTTTTCATGCCCCCCCCCCCACTCCCAACTGACCTGGTTTTTTTAATAAATTTATTCCAAAGGGCTTGCATGGGTGACTTCGGGCTCAGAGTATCCGCTAAGCATAGCTTGTTGCGTGTACCCCGAACCCACCACCCAAGTCCCAAGTCGTGCGGTCCAGTTCAACGGATAGTTTTGCCTCCACCCTTTTGCCAGACAGGACTGCGGAGGTCGTGGCCGGTTGCCAGCTAACCTTTCCATGTCAGTTGGGTCAAACAATGCGCCCACTCCGGGATTCGTACTCAGTGCCGCAGGATTAAGAGCCCAGCATCTTTCCCCTAGACCACGGAGGCAACTTTTTTTCTTCTTTTTTTGTTCAGAATCTGGACAAATAATTTACCCGCCTATCCTCTCCATAGCCATTTGGTATCATAGCATGCCTCCAACACCCCAATTTCCTTATTCTGAGCATCCTGGCCAGCTAGCTAGCCCTAAAGTCTGGCAAGAAGTGACCTAGCTTGCTATATAAAGTCCCATTTCACTGCCAGCTCCCTCATGATGAATCTCAGTGACCAGGAAAGTAACCCCAAGACTGGGTTATTTTCCAAGACTGCATTTGCATCTGGAGCTCTCTGAGCAACCCACAGGCTCTTGGGAAAATATTGGTCCTATTAACAGAATGCACATCTATCTCTCAGCATGGCATCCATGCATTGGTGGCAGGCATGCTAGTGCCTTTGGATTTTAGGATCTCTGTCACACTCAGTGTTTTGGTACTGAGTTGTTTTCCTGGAGTTGCCTTCCCCTGGGCAGCACAGCCTCTGTTATCCAGCATTAGTTTATGCTCAAGCTAGTTGGGACCATGGTGTGACAAGCATATGAGCTCATGATAAATGTGTGGATGTGAACATAGGTAACTGTCTTTCAACAATCAATGTATTTTGTGTGTGAACAGCAATGCACAGTAATAAATGATTCTTAAGAATCTGATTTGAACCAGACTCAACCTAACTCGACTTTGTTGTAGTCTGTTTCAGTCAGTCACCTGTCTAGTTTACCAGCCATGGCCATGGTTGGTGACCACCAGAGTTCTCGGCCTAATGTGGCCCTCATCTCAGGCATCACTGGACAGGTTTGTACCTTTCTGAAGGCTTGCCTGTTGTGTATGGCACAACAAAATTCTGCAATGTGAACAATTATGCTTGGCTTTCAGATGTCCCTGCTCATGAGCTCCACCACTCCTTCTGTTGTAATGACTGTGGATAAGGCTCTGAATGAGAGCATTAGTTATTTGCTATTTAAACCTTTTTCATCTCTTGCCAGGATGGATTGTTGAGCACCAATGCGCCCCATATATCATGTATCATCTCCCAGTGTTGATGGAATAAACCCACAGAAGACCTCCAGATGAACACTTTCCCACTGGTAGATCTGTATCTTGACGTGCAGGGGATGATGGCAGATTCGGCATCATTCAGACGCTGATATCGGCGCTCATTGACCTGTGCAGGATGGATCGTACCTGGCCGAGCTTCTGCTCTCGAAGGGCTACGAGGTGCACGGCATCATCCGACGCTCCAGCTCCTTCAACACGTCGCGCATCCGCCACTTGTACGAGGACCCGCTCGCGTTCAAACAGGGCAAGGACTTTCAGCTGCATTATGGCGACCTCACTGACTCCACCTGTCTGGTGAAGCTCATACACAAGATCAAGCCCTGTGAGGTGTACAACCTGGGAGCCCAGAGCCATGTCAAGGTGAGGACGAGTACGGCAGCAAACCCGGGTGTAACGTCATGTTTCCCAGAGTGTTTTCAATAAGCAGGTTTATAGGTACCTTTTGAGGCAACTGTCATTGATCGCACTGAGAATAATTTGTGCTTGTGAGAACTACATTAAGGCCTATTGACTGAGAGAGGGCGATAGCGCGCACGCGCGCGGGAGAGAGAGAGAGAGAGAGAGAGAGAGAGAGAGAGAGAGAGAGAGAGAGAGAGATAGAGATAGAGAGAGAGAGAGAGGAGAGAGAGAGAGAGAGAGAGAGAGAGAGAGAGAGAGAGAGAGAGAGAGATAGAGAGAGAGAGAGGAGAGAGAGAGAGAGAGAGAGAGAGAGAGAGAGTTTTACAGCACCAGTTGTTTTGTGTCTGGTGTACCACCCAGGTTGATGTGGGCTTATCTGGCCCAATTCTCCATCAGCTACACTAATCAGAATACCTGACTGGGTCCGGCCGGCAGGTGTCGTTCGACCTGTCTGAGTACACGGCCGAGGTGGACGCGCTGGGCGTGGTCCGGCTGCTGGACGCCGTGCGCTCGTGCGGCATGGACAAGTCGGTGCGCTTCTACCAGGCGTCCACCTCCGAGCTGTACGGCAAGGTGGTGGAGACGCCGCAGACCGAGACCACGCCGTTCTATCCGCAATCGCCGTACGGTGAGCACGCCGGCCCGCCAATAGGACAGGAGGGGACAGCACAGCACAGCACAGCACATGTCCTGTGTGCCACCCGACCCAACCCGACCCGACTTGACTCGACCCGACCCGACCTGACCCGACATGGCCTGACCAGATCAGATCAGATCCGACCTGACCTGACCTGACCTGACCTGACCTGACCTGACCTGACCTGGCCTGACCTGGCCTGGCCTGGCCTGGCCTGGCCCGACCCGACCCGACTGGAGATGGAATGAGACGAGACCGGGGCGGGACGCGAAATGTCAAGGGAACAGGAGATGGGACGGGGAGATCACTCAGTTTGCGCGGCTCCACACAACATGAGTTACAATAATAATGACACCTGCCTAGTCACAGCATAGCATAGCATAGCGGCGATCGGGCTGCACGCTGGCTTCACGCAGGCGTAGGCTGTACTCGCGCCCCGAGCCGCACCGGCCGGAGGCTGACGGCTGACGTATGCGCTTGGATGCGTCCGCGATTCAGGCTTCAGGCGGTATTTCCGAGAGCCGTCGCGAGGTCGTGGTGGGTGGGCAGGTGGCGGCCGCTCGCTCCGCCGTTATCAAAAGTGCAAACAGTTTTCCTGCGCGGAACGGCCGATAGGCCGCTATTGTCCCGCTCTGGGCGGCAAACCGCCGGGAGCGGGACGGTCCGGGTGTGTGCAGGGTTGTGAGTGGCTCACACCACTGGCTCGGCTCAGCGTGCAGGGGTGTCGCACATATGCTTTCGGTGCGGATATCAGGACTCCGCCTGGGCCGTTCAGCGGCGTGGGCGCCCTCCCCTCCTGCCGCCCCTCTTCACCCACCCACGGATGGAATGTGAGAGCACAGGTGCGCCTGCTGCCGCGGACCACTCTCCCGACAGCTGGACGGACGTGCACGGCTGTTGAGCACGCTGGCCAGACAGAGGGCCGGGCGGCAGTGACAGAGCTATGCAGCTGTGTGGCTCACATGGCAGGCACGCGTTGCTGCAACGGCGCGGGGACCGACCGAGGGACCGTCAGTAGGGGGGCGGGGCAGACTGCTGAGGAGATGCGCTCATGCCGTGGCTGGTGTCCACTTCCCGTCCGACCGATTCCGGCGATGGGCGGCAGCGGCGGATTCGGTGCTGGCCGCGGCGGTTGAGCCGATTCTGCCGTCCCACAGGCTGCGCCAAGCTGTACGCCTTCTGGATCTGCAAGGTGTACCGCGAGGCGTACAACATGCACATCTCCAACGGGATCCTGTTCAACCACGAGTCTCCGCGCCGAGGTGGGCATGGGTGCTGACCTCTCACGTTGCCGGCGCCCGCGCTGAGCCCGACGCTGGCAGGGATTTGTTGGTTGGATCGGTTCAGGTCCCGTCATATCCGCGTGTGAAATTGGATGCGGCCGCATTCTGGGGAGACACGTTGAACGGCATGCGAATTGATTCGCATTGTATGTTGGTATGGCCCATCTGGTGTATGTATGCATAGAATGCATTGCAGTGAATCGCACTGACCTCGCAGCGTACGGGTGCAGCATTCTGACCAGTGCTGCCATGCCGCGAGCGACCTCAGAACCTGTGCTTGCGTTGCTCGCCGCCAGGCGAGACGTTCGTGACGCGCAAGATCACCCGCTGCGTGGCCAAGATCAAGCTCGACCAGATGGAGGCGTTTGAGCTGGGTAACCTGGATGCCAAGCGAGACTGGGGCCACGCCAAGGACTACGTGGAGGTGGGACTGGCGTACGGATGTGTGGCGCACAAACTGTGGGGCATGGCTCATGTTCTTATGGAGTCAGACCACGCGAATTAAATATGCAGTTTTTCTTCACTATTTTAGGTCTACATCATACAGGTTTGTTAATCCCCTGCTTAATTTCCCCTGGTAGGTTCCTTGTCAATGTAATTCCCTATGTGCTGTGTCATTCTTTTCCACATGCTGATTGGTGTCCTCCGCGGCTGCTGTGTGCGTGCCGTTTGACGGGATGGTCTGTTGCAGGCCATGTGGAAGATGATGCAGCTGGATAGTCCGCAGGACCTGGTCATCTCCACCGGGGAGGTGCACAGCGTGCGCGAGTTTGTGGAGGCGGCGTTCGCCGAGGTGGGTCTATCCACCGGCCTTTACCACTTCTCTGAAGGGGAACAGCAGGCTAGACAATCTGAAAATCACACACGAAAGCGCGTGGGCCATGCACTACTTGCTTTCAAATGCTCTTAGCTTTCATTCATTGTCTAAAAATCAAAGGTGTGATAAGACTGACTTCTCATTTCATACACTCAGGCCTGCGATGTGATTTTAAAACATTGAGGCCTACCTACTGGCCTGGTGCTTTGCCCCTCCCTCCTCTCCCCCCCCCCCCCCCCCCAGATTGTCATTGGGGCATTACCATAACCTCCCTCCACACTTACAAATCTGTGTTGGGCCCGAATCCCGCCACCGGCGCGGGACCTCCAGCTGCACCGCGCGCTCTTCGAGCCCGGCCGCCGGCGCCCCTCCGTGACCTGTGGCGCCACCTGGCCAGATCGATCGCGCCATCGTGTGGGAGGGCTCCGGCGAGAGCGAGGTCGGCAAGGAGGCCGACACGGGCATTGTGCGCGTCCGCGTCAACCCCAAGTTCTACCGGCCGGCCGAGGTGGAGTTCCTGCAGGGCGACTGCTCCAAGGCCAAGTCCCTGTTTGAGTGGAAGCCGCAGTATGACTTCAAGGTGAGACTTGGTGAGGTCGAGGTGGGGCGAGGCAGCACGACTTCAAGGTGAGACTTGGTGAGGTCAGGGTGAGGTGAGGCAGCACGACTGCAAAGCCACAGAGTGGACGCTTTGGTCCGGGGAGACTTAGAGGCTTGTGCCGACACCTGCCCCCGATCATTTGAGACCATGTGCTCACATGAAGGTGTGTATTGTCAGTTTTGTGTACAGATACTGACCGTACATACCTGTGGGGTTGGCGCCCTTCGCCCCTATTTGACTGAGGGTATATCCGGTTTGTCTCACTGGTAGGCGTGTGCACTGCATTTCGGTTTCCAGCGTCGTGTTGGGCCTCTGGGTTAGACCTACGACCATCCCCAACCCCTATATTCATCCATATCCCCTGTAATCATCCCATCCTTATAGTTATCCCCATCCCCTATCCTTATCCAAATCATCCCATCACCTACAATCATCTGTCACCTATAATTATCCCCATCTCATATAATCATTCCCATCCCTTATTATCATCACCATCCCCTATGATCATCCTCATTCGCTGTCATCATATCCATGGGGATGGTTATCCCTATTTATGGCTCCATGGCATCCTCTGTAGCAATGGCTGTCCTTGACCATTCTTGTCAGGATGGCTGTTTCTTGTTTTACTGTGGGGGTCGTGGTGCTTATCAGGATGTCCGTCCTTGTTTCGTTTTTTGGTTGCTTTTTCTGTCTCTTAAGTCTGATCCTTTTGAGTGGATGGATTTCTGGAAGCAGAGCTCATATCAACCAGTGCTTCTTGTGTAAACCCTGACCTGTACCTTCCGATCATGAAATTCAGGTTCAGCAGCACAATTTTATGACCGACGCTTAGCTATCGCAACGCACGGTGCGGTCCGCCCCGCCGTCCGGCCTCGTTGACCTTCAGCGACTGCTGCCACCAGCCGGAGGCCCTCCCAGCTGGGGGCTGGGTCGGGATGTTTTTCACGTGTCCCCTGCCATCTGGATGCACTGTGGCGCCCCATCGTGTTGTGTATTCAGGCGGGAGTCTCCGGGCTTGTCGCTGGTCGGGGGTCGTGTTGGAAGTCGTCGTGGCACTCCTGCGTGTCCGCTGTGCTCGTCCGTGCTGGCCCGTGTTGACCTTTTTTAACCTGTGGGGACCCGTTCTGACACTTACTAGCTCGTGCTGCTCCATGTAGACCTATGTTAACCCGTTTTGATCCTTGCTGACCCGTGTTGACATGTGTTAACCCGCGCTGACCCTTGTTTACCCTTCTTGGCCCTTTTAACTTGTGCCGACCCGTGTTGACCTATGTTAACCCATGCTGACCCTTGCTGACCTGTGCTGCTCCGTGTTAGTTCGTGCTGACCGGTGCTGTCCCATTTGAACCCGTGATTAACCGTGCTGACCCATTTCAGCCGTGCTGACTCGTGCTGACCCGTGGCGCCTGTGCCTTCCAGAGCCTGGTCAAGGACATGGTGCAGTCTGACATCGAGCTGTTCCGCAACAACCCAAATGCGTAGTAGCTGTCGGACTCGGCCAGCGGCGGCCGTCCCGGTGGAGACCAGCCGCCACTGCCGGACGGGTCACGGGTCACGCGGGGATTTGGGGAAAGGGGAGGGGCATGGCCTGCTGGTGTCCAGCACTACTGGCACGCACGTGTGCCAATGGCCCCGGCTCAGTATTTCAACGTCCGTGGACGTCTCGGCAGCTGCTGATTGGGCATTGGGTGAAGCAGGTTTTCTGGCGCGATTCTGACGCCCCCTTGGGGTTACTTTCGCTCCCAGCGCGAAGCTGCCACGCTGTTTCGTTTTCAGACATTAAGTATTATCTGCATGTCAAGACTGTGTCGGGTATGAATCCTCTGAAGTCATAGCCCCACCGCGGATGAGAACGGCCGGTGGTCACATTGGTGGTATGCACCTCGGTGTTTTCTGGAACTCTGTCTCAGTTGGGGATCATGTAAACGGATGCATTGACGAGGCCATGTAGTGGTCGACGCCCTCATGTTGCGTTGTTTAATTTGCTTCTGAAAGTAAGCTGTCCCTGTCCCTGGGCTCTAGGGTCGTGCGTCGTGGATTATCTTTCAATCACTTGGATCCCCAAACACGGTTAACTTGTATGTGTCTCGCACACAAACGTGAGCATTCAGTTGCAGTCATGATGTCGCTTTGTTGCGGACCGGGCTTGCCCTGCTATAGCTTCTGGGGAATGTTTAGTGATTAATTTGTTCAGGTTGCTGAAAACATGATAATTTGATTGGTTTCTACCTGCAATCAGCGTCAGTATCTCGGCATGTTTTTCATGGCTTTGAGGTACTAAATTTATGGAAACGTGCGGATTTGTACTTGTGGGTCCTCTTGTTGATTTAGTAGACGTATCACTGTTCATCACGTGAACCTTTGTTACTCATTGGAATGAATCTGCTGGTGCGCGTTTTCGTACTGCGGTACCAGGAGCTTTTGTCCCAAGCTTACCTTTCGGGAGATATTAGTTGTTATTGTTGCACAAGTTTTTTGAAGAGTCGTTTTCACGTTTTTGTTGTCCTTCAGCACTGTATATGCTCGCATTGATATGGTTTCGCCGCTCGTAATGCATTGGTAATCCACTTAGGCCGTGGCAACGGAAAGTGAACATCAGGAGAATATGGGGTCATGCGCAGGGAAGGAAAGCAGGGATGCCTTTGCGTGTTAGGTACCGCATTTGCATATGTGGCAATGTTTAAAGTACATCTGCGGCCGACTCATCCTTGCAAGTGCCTTAAGCGGTCTTTTCTAAATGGAACATATGTGTTGTATGTAGCTCATCGGCTCCGTGTTTCTGTGTTTTCCTTGTTTGTTTTTTAAGACGGCCGCGATGTTATGTGAGTGCATACATTCCGAGCTTCTTCCAATAAATTTATAGCCGCGTTGTGGTTCCGTTTTCATCAGACAGCGAATGGGCTGCACGAGTTAGAGTAGCGTTGCAAGCGCTCATCTTTGGCTTCACGGCCATGATGAACACTGACGTTCTTCCGGCTTCGTTTGGCCCCGCCACCTTCTATTTTTTAAGAATGTTTGCCATACCAATGTTGGATATCGTCAATCAGATGGCCTATACTGGCCCCTCAGTGTTGCGGTTGTAGGCCCGCGCTTGAATCACGAGACCGGCCCGATTTTTGTTTTTTAATTGGATTTAAGAAGATATGGGGGGCCCGGTGAACGTAGATTGTAGATCGCAATGGGGTCAGAATTTGCATTTACATGGCCAGTCCATGTTTATTTGGAGATATTCAGCCCTAGGTCAGAACCGATCAGTGAAAGAAAAAATGGTGCGGCATGGTTTCGAGCATGGACGATCACAAGACGACGCCCTCGTCGCGGTCCCCTTAGGTCGCACGGCGTTGACTGCGATTACCGCGAGGGGGTGGTCAATGTGCGATCGAAAATAAAGACGCATCTAAAAGAAGTACTTTTGAACAATTTAAGACATCGGTTTACCAGTTAAGAAGACAGTCCCGTCGTCAGCTTCATCTGTGCGCTTTGTAGTCTGATGATGGAACGGATTAGCATTTGTAGTACCGCGAGTTAGTGCTGGAAGCTGACGGTGGGACTGTGGAGTTCAAGATGTATGTGTATATATATACACACACACACACACACACACACACATATATATATATATATATATATATATATATATATATATATATATATATGCCGTGCGGCCGTAACCGTTGATCGGGTAAGAAGACAGCCTCAGAATTATTAATGTTAAACATACGTACTAGGGTAATGCTTGGATGGTATGTCTGACTTTGAAAGATTAGGAAACACTTTTACGACGGTCGTTCCCGCGTGTATTGCGCCGGACGCCTGGTTTTATCTCCGCAGCGGCTAAAGCCGTTCGACGTTACGGACAACGCAGCCCCAGTCGTAGCTGCTCTTGTTCCTAAGATTGTGCGCGCGCGGGCTCAAAACCGTTTGAGGCAACTGTAGTGGTGGACCATGTGTAGTAACAGATCACGCCCCAGGACAGTGTTAACGTAGGGAAACGGTCACGGCTCAGGGGTGATGAGTTAGCCCGTGGACGCGGTGGGGTGGGACGCGGTGGCGCCAGCGAGTCGCACGCCGATCGTGTTGCGGGTGGGCTCGAAAGGAGTGTAAGAGGTGCTGCTCGGGGCGCGTAAGAAGAGTCTCTCCGCCGGCATTGCGTGTAGCAGTTCGCCGTTGGTTGGTCCGTTGGCCGTTGGGCGTGGGTTGGTCCAGCCGCGATGTGACCTCGAATACAGCAATTTGTCTGAAGTCGATTCTGCAAGGCGATAAACGCTTTCAGGCAGGCATGGGTAGACGTTTTGTTTATTTATTTTTGGCTTCACTTTGATCCATGCTATCGAACGTTTATCAGAACCTAAGCTTTTTCTGGGTAGGGCAGGGAGCTCCGTGGGTAGAGTACTAGGGGATACCTTACCACCGTTTCCGGCCAATGGCTGGAGAGAAATTCCGTCCCAGCACGGGATGTCTGCCGGCTGGCATTCTGGCAGCATAGGAGTGGGGTTCCTCGATCGATCCGGAGGCCCTTAGAGGGACACACCGTACATGTATCCCCTTCCCAGCGCGGGAAGCCCTGTGACAGAGGTGATTCACCACAGATCGACCCAGGAGCCTTAACTGACGCAACAAGATCTCTCATCGCCGCCGGTGGTTCAATGATCGGCACAGAGACTTCTGTGTCGCTTAACAGCCCTCGGTTGAACTGTGGTGGAGCCCCCCCCCCCCCCCCCCCCCGTTCGTCGTCGCGTGGGCCCTGACAAACGCGATGTCTTTCCATTACCTCATTGTGAACTCTCATAGTTCAAGTTCTCATACCCCCTTCATTGTCAGAGGGCCCCAACAAACGTAAGAGACCCTCTAGCATTGGGGGCTCCGGCCCTGTCCCTGTCCAGCAAAGGTTCCGCTGGCCAATTTGGGACCCCTTGCCGACACAGACGTCTTCTTGTTGGGCACTGCGCGCGGTAGCGCAGACAGGGGAGTACAGGGGCACGTGCCCCCTCCTCTTAGGTCCTGAGGGGTCCGAAGGGCCCATCAGGACCCATGATTAAAGGTCCAATTTGGGGATCCGAAGGGCCCGAAAGGCCGATCGGAGGTTGCATTGAGGGGCACAGTTCACAAGTCCGGGAACTTCAGTGCCACCCAGGGTGTCCTGCGCGTTGATCAGGGGCCCCCTGAGTCAACAAGGGCCAGTTAGTGTCGGTCAGACACCACCGATTACGCACGGTCGGCTCTGTATTGGCCCATTGATCTAAATTGTTTGGGTCCCAGCATCTGTCAAGGGCACCACGGCGCCTAGCATGGGGCCTTGTGTTGGCAAGGGGCCCAGGTCAGCCAGAGGCAGTGTTCGAGGAGGTCCGAGGAGCCTGGATGGCACACCCGGTGCGACGATCAAGGGCCCGATTAGGGCTTAAGAGCACGAAGTGCCGGTCAGGTTATATTCAGGGACTTCAGCCTACATGCACGGCCCCCAAATGACAACCAAAGGGCCCTTTCCGCCAATCGAGGACTTTTGATTCGATTTGGGACTATATGTCGGTCAGGCACCACCAGTACCGCACAGTCAGCTCCGTGCCGATATGGGCCTGGAAGCTCACTTCCCAAGGCGGGCAAAGGTGCTCTTGCACCGTTTGAGGACCCCCTGAGACAATGCGGGTGCCTCGGGCGGCCAGAGACCACGAGCACCGAACAGTTGGCTCCCCGTCACTCTGAACACCTGGCAGTCCATTTCCCAGGCAGGAGCAATACCGGGGGCCACGGCTTGCACTGGTTTGGGTCCCTGAAACAATGGTTGGGGTCCTGCGTCGGTCAGGAGCCCATAGTGCCTAACAGGGGGTCATGTGTCGGCTAGTGGCCCTGAGTTGGTCGCAGGCTTTGTTTGAGGATCACCAACAACGAACGGTCGGTTCCATGTCGGTCTGAGTTCTTGGAGCCCATTTACCAGGCAGGGCAAGGCCGGGCCTGCGATTTTAATTGGTCGGGGCTTCTGCAACAATGTGAGGCTCCTATATCGGTCAGGGGCCCAGTGCCTGACAGGGTGTTCTGTGTCAACAATGGGCCTGGAGTCGGTCAGGGGAACATTTGCACAACAGGGGCGGGGACGGGACCCCGAATTACAGAAAACCTCTAACGTTGGTCGGGCCCTCTGACAATGAAAGGAAATTTAACTTGCGATGAGTGTTCAAACTGAGATAATGCATGGGTCCCGTATCAGTCAGGCCTCCCAGTACGCAGCGGTGGGCCCTCCCGCCCTATTCCAGCATGGGCACGTTAAGCGGAACTGGAGTCTCTGCGCCAATTATTGAACTACTTGCGGTGATCAGGGATGTTGTTACATCAATGAGGGTTTTTTTGTTGATCCCGAGCCAACTGCGCAGGTCAGAGGGCCTTTTCGCGTCAGGAAGGGACCAATACCAGTGTGATATGATGTGTCCCTCTACAGGTCTCCGGATCGACCAGGGGATCCCGCCCGTGTTGCTAGAATGTTAGCAGGAAAACATCCCGCGGTGGAAAATAGATATTTTCTTAAGCTCCCGACCTGGAAAAAAATGCGCCCCTCAGTGTTCTATTCATGAGACCCCCTGCCCGGAAATAAATAAAGGGCCTCACGAGCGTTGAAAAGAATGGGTCGAAATGGGTTTGAAACTGAACAAGGCCAACATTTGACTAGTGAAACAAATAACATCAAAAGATTCGAACCTGCGCGCCCGCAATCTTGGGCGTTTCCGTAAATCGAACGGCGCTGGCCACTGCAAGTAACAAAACGCGCCCTGCGCGAAAAGGACCGTCGTAAAATAATGGTTCTGAGCGTATTTCAAAATTAATTCTCACCTTTCGAATATAAGACTGGGCGATTATTTTCTTGTTTCGTTGCAACTTTGAGGCTGTCCTCTCGACAGATGAACGGTTACAGCAACACGAAACAAAGAGCTTCCACCCTAACCGTTTAAGCTGACCACCAGGTCCCAACCAGCACTAGTTCGCGGTGCTGTGAATGCCAATCCGCTCTTAACATCAATCTAAAGATCGCACTGGTGAAACATATGCCCGGACTACCTTCTAAATGTATGCTTTGATGCTCTAAGGTATTTATTTCAGACGTGCCATTATTTTCGTCCATCTGTCAGCCGCGACTTGATATCTGCTACAAGACGGCCCTGTGCGGCTTACGGAGACTACAACGCCTGGTGCGAGTTTGCTTACTAAGATTTGCGGGCGCACGTGTTCAGAACTACGTGCCGTATTTTTGCACCACAAACCGATTCTGACTGAATGCTGCATTTTCATAATGCCATCGGTTGGCGTATTGAATGCAAAATGCTGACCTATTTTGGATCTACAACCTACATTTTACATTCTACAATCTACATTCGCGGGCTCCCTAATATCTCTGTAGGACCCAGATAAATATTATGGCGAAGCTTCTGAATTTTGTGAGTTTTGAAAGAGCCGCTGGACCATTGTTTAACGGAGGGCGCTGGTGATTTATGTCATGAAATCGTTAGGCGTATGATTACTTCAGTTTATTCTCCATTAAATTTAGTCGGAATGTATCTCTCGGTTGCCTCTGGCTTCTGTTCCAGTTATACAAGGAAAAATGAAAAATAGTGAAAAGCATGCCCCACTAACAAGCGGGTGCATTTGGCGATGTTTTGGCGGGGCCTTTTCACCATCAAGGGGCCCTTTGTCAACCCTGTGCATCCCTTTGCCAAGGTTCTGGCTGCGCGACTGACTGTGCGCTCCCGATCGTCACAGAGGCCCCTTAATGTTTCAGGGGCCTCGACCGATGCGAAGCGCGGGCCCCGGCCTCGTTTCCGCTTGGGAAGTGGATCCCCAGAGCTCAGACCAACACGAAGCTGACTGTTCAATGTTGGTGGTCTTTGGCCGAAAAAGGGGCCCGCATTGTCCAACGGGTCGCTAATCAGCGTAAGAGGTACTCTGACTACGACTTAAGACCACGGCTCTACCGGCGGAGACCCTTAATGTGACCTACAGTCAGCCCTTCGGGCCCTTTAGCCTTCAAGTCGGTCCTCGATGTTTGGTCCCGAGGCGCCCTTCGGGTCCCTTCAGGCCCCTCGAATACGGCCCCGACCGACTCGGGGTCACTTGCTGACACAGGACCGCCTGTTCGGCACTGTGGGCACCTAGCCGACATAGGGGCCCCTCATTGACCTAGGGACCCCGATCCATGCAAATCGTGAGCCCGGCCCTATCGCTGCTTGGGAAACAGGCCATCAGGCTCAGGCCGACACTGAACTGAATGTTCGGTTTTGATGGCGCCTCACCGGCGTAGAGGCGACACTGAGCTGTGTGTTCGGTTTTGGTGGTGCCTCACCGACATAGAGGCCTCCAATCGGTGTAAAGGCTCCTTCTCATATTTGAGTGTCCGGCCCTGCGGGCCGGGTCTCTTAATACGACCTCAAGCCGCCTCTTTGGGCCCTTGGGGCCCTCAACTCGGACCCCTAATTATCAGCCTTGCGAGGCCTTTTGGGCCTTCGAAACCTAAGGGGGAGGGGCACGCGCCCCCTATGCCACTCCCTGCCTGCGCCACTGTATGCAGGTCAACCGCACAATACAGTTGCTGGTATGCGACTTTTGGTCTGTATCATGGGACGAATCTATTGTTGACAAGAATTGTCACGTTTGCTACTGAAATCAGTCTTACTTAGGTGTTGATTCACTTTTTCTGCGCGGTGGTACTCGAATATATGTGATATTAAACTCTGGTGCGGGGGCGTAGTTCGCAAAATGAACTGGGGTCGTTGGAGGCTGGGCAGTGAAAAGATGCAGCCTCCCCATGACACACCAACAAACAGGTTTCTTCTAAAATTTTGTTCAATTTCTTCTCATAATTGAGGGGAGCTGGCGCTCAAGTTAGGGGGGGGGGGGCTGGATCCCTCCTCAACAGAATAGGAAACTCCTCTCCAGCCCTGTACTGCTGGTTATGGTTCATGCCGGCAATGCATATTTCGTGGTAAGGACCCCAAAATTTTTCCAACCTTTGGCGAGTACTTGGTCTACTTTTTGACGTATCTAGGCTAATATTTGCGCGCACTGCCTTAAGTAATGTGCTTGAATTAACTGATATGCACTAATCACTACTCTCGAATCATTTAAAGACAAAAATAAAGTGAATTATTTGCTCATATGACTTATAGTAAAATAAAAAAGAAAGAAAACAAATTTACTGGATTATTCTTCGGCTAAATGTGCATATTCCTGGCATCGGCAAGCACAAGCGTCTGGCAAGTGCGAGATGCTCTGAGGAATGTGCGTGTGTGGGTTGTGGGCTGGTGCTGGGGCATGGGAGATAGGTGCGTGTTGATTTGGAGGGGTCGCGCTGAAGGAGCCTTTCCTTAGTCCCTGCATCTTATTTGATGTCAGGTCACCAGAACCTCCAGTGACAGTATGTGATGTAGCTGATGTAGGGCTGTTTTCGGAAACGTGTTTGACGTGAAGAACTGGCGGTATTGAATACAGAAGCAGTAGGCATCAAGATGAAGGTGGGTGGAATTTTTCGCAATGTTTGGTTGTTGAAGTGCTTTTTGAGTTACTGAGTTTACAAATCGTTGGTGAAATCGGTGGTGAATTGGCCTGGGTAAACATATTGCTTTAACAGATCCGTTCTCCACCTTTGTCCCTGGCACAAGGCAATTAGGTGGATATTGTATTGCGCTGAGTACATCCCTAGCAGCAAGTATCATGCTTCAGTCAATGTAAAATTTGTCTTTTCATTGCTTAGAGATAGTATTTATGTTCTGTAGTGGTATGTATGAGTCATACAGCAAAACATAGTGACTATGAATAATCTTAAGAGTAACATGAAACTGGGAGTGGCAGGGAGACAGTGATTTTATGTTGATTATGTCAGTGATTCTTTGTTCAATTTCACATTTAACATTCCAATTAAGTACAAAATTGAATGTTAGCATGGTGGCATTTTGTGATCATATCTTAAAACATGTTTTGGACCCTAAGCCTCTGGGAATTCTTATATCTTGGCTGGTCTTGATGTTCATCTCTTAATGAAGCCAGTGCCATAAATCATGGGATGAAAAGAGCACCAAAAAGGCTGAAACATGTTACAATGCTGTCCTAAAGGTGAGTGATCAGTTAAGGCTATATTTGGAAGATGCTTATACATCTGATAATATGTTTTTTACAGATTTATTATACACACTATATATAGCACTGACTTGTTAAAGCAGGCCTCAGACCACCCCAGCATTCACCTATCTATGCTTTTGTATCTTGCTCTCCCTGTTATGACTGAGCAAGTTGGCAGTTCCAGAAGTCTTAGGTGTCAAGGTTGGCCATATTTTTTCTTTAAGCAGCCTTGCCAAGTATGGTGTTGCAGTTGTTTTTTATAAGCGCATGGTCTTTTGGGGGCTACAGTTTTTTATTTGCCATCTCTATAATACATCATAGCTCCACTGAAGCATTGCAGTATTACTGCAATTCAAGTTCTGACTTTTTACCCAATAACACAGGAAAGGTAAGACATGAAAAGTGCAAGAGTTCTCAGCAGGACTTTGAAGCTGGTATAGCCCTTCATAACCCAGTCATGCAGTGATACAGGATTGCTGTCAGCAATACAAAATCAGGTAGTCATGTTAACATAAACACACATTGTTTCATGGGATGGGTTAGGAATGCTTGATCAAGTATGTTTTTAAATATCCATGGTCAATATCTGCAGCTGGAGCCAATGGGCATGGAAATAACTGGATGTTGCATATGGGGGCACCATCTGCAAATCATTACACAATGTTCACTGACCTTTAAGTAGCCTAAGCAGCCAGTAATCAGCTGGGATGTAGAGAAATTGATTTTATATGCTGATGACAAATGACCTTCAGCATAAAATGGATGCTGGTTAGAAGCAGATATCAAGCAGCCCTTGACCAGATCATCTACTGCGTCAAACACCAACTTACCAACTGCATACTGGAATTGACTGTCAAAATTAGTAATTGAATCATTGACTAGGCATTGACCAGAAGGCAGAATATTAAGCCCTTGTCAAGGCTTTGAGATTTGCTGTTTTTTGTATAAGAAATGTATTGGATGATAGGCTTTGTACTGTTCTTCAAAGCTTAGACCAAGAGACTTTTATGTGGATCATTCACAGTGATTCTTTGTTGGTTATTTGAGTTCATCAGCAGTTAGTAGTTTCAGTTGTGGTGCTTGTGTTATATACATGACTGGTTCATGGTTAGTCTGCAGGTCTGTGACTGAAACATCATGAAGTCACCATACATACTTCCTTTCTGGAACAATGACATGTATGTTTTGTATCCATCAGTACTATCAGTTTTACATTTTGCTCTCATTAACCATGGGTTCCAGACCTAAAATTCTGAGTGACCATGTTAATTGGCTATGTTAAACTACCTTAGGGGTGATACAACTATAACAGGCTGTGAGCTAGAACTTCTGGTACATGCTGCCTTATGACCAGCAAACTGTTCAGCAGCTTAAACATATGTCAGCAGCTCACATGTTTGTACAGGTTGTCATCTGTAAGCAAGAGATTTGATCAGATGTAATTGGCTTTTCACTGCTCTCTTGCTTCACCTACTTGTGAACTGAGTGTGAATCATGATGAAAAGGAGAAGCAAATGAAGGTCAGATTTGCTCTAATGGATGTGTATTTTTCTCAAATGTGAAAGCTGTGTTAGCCAGACTTGAGTTACAAAACTGAGCACCACTTAAGTATATTTTATTACCAAAACCTGCAAAGACTTACAACCTGATCCATCTGTCATATATCTGTCCTGTCTCATGAACATAAATTCATGGCTGACCTTTATGACATGTGGCCAGTACAACTGGCAGAAACATCAAAGTCTTGGTAGAATATGTTTAGATGCTTCATGGTATGATCATAATGCATCCTAAATCTACCTTTTTAAAGGTTGTCTTGAGGGTAATGCCCTGTGGCAAAGGCTCTCCTACCAGAGATTTGTAGGACCATTAGGTTGATTTCATACCCAAAAGTTCCACAGCACCCATAATCTAAAAACACTTGGAGGCTTCCATCTGTGTCATGTGTCAATGTGTCCATATTCCAAATGTTCAATGTGTCAATGGTAGCGTGAAGCATTTAGCATTTTTTAGAGTAGCGCAACAATTGACAAAGATGAATGTGCATACTGATGGGAATGGCTGCCCTAATGCTACAGATAAGCTGACAATGAGGCTGCTCAGTAGACATACAGGTAAAATACCTCGGGCATGAGCATACCGACACAAACAGACGACCCCCCGGCTTATCCAGACGACGGTTCTGAACGTCGGCTGGAATAGACTAGACGTAGGGGAGATGGGGATCTGGCTGCCTATTCTCACAAAGGTCAACATTGCTTTATGCCATTGCGTGGAAAGAGACACTAGGAAACTCGATACTCCTCATGTTTTACTTGTTGCGGAGCCACTGCATGTTGGGGGTCTTTTTTGCGCTATTCAACTGCCAAACAGCTGATCAGCTCTGCAACTCAGATGACACATTCGACACGCGTGTCACTCATCGTTCTGTGGGTCGCTGGGATCTATTGCAGCAATCACGGAACCAAATATAGTTTAGGCGCGAAGTTCTGCTGCATCATATCGTCTCGTGGCATTGCCGCGCATAATCACAGAGCGGCGCTAGACGCTGAGGCGCGGTGATGCGCCACGCCGCCGAACATCGGGATGGAGAATTCCTGATCTGGACGAACGAGCTGCTGATATTTAGTGCTGAGATGTCATGCTCTGATTCGTTGACAGCTGCGTTCTGTTTGCTCCAGACACTCACCACCACGGCGCAATGACATAGCTCAGGGTGAGGGGACGGGCCAAGACGTCATGACCACTCCGGAGTTCCTGCCACTCTGCGATGTCCTCTTCAACATCATCAGCCTGGCGTCCTACTTCTGCGACGTCGTGTTCGACGTGGTCACCGTGTACACTCTGCTGACGCACGACGAGCTGGTGTGGTTCACGCTGGCTCTGATCGCCGTCATCGTCTCTCTGGTCACGTGTCAGGTGAGCGGCTGTCATTTGTGTCAGGCTGTGGTCTGTTTCGTGACGTGTTGTCCAGTGTCTGCCATGTATGTATGTGGTGTGTGTGTCTTGTGCTGCGTACCAGTCATGGCCCTGCGCCCGCACTGTCCGGTCGGGTGTATTCTCCTCTGACGGACCGGGCACTCATTTCACATAGCACGACCTGACTCGATCGGCCCTCCTTCAGTATGAATCAGCTCTTATGCCATGAGGGAAAAAGGAACAGATGGCATGTATTTGTGGGTGCTGTGCGTCACTTACGAGGTGGCGATGCATGCATGATGTACTGCAACATACCCACGTTTTGCGTCATTTTTTACGTTCCACTCCTTTGTTGGTATAGTTTCAAGGCTTTAGGCAACAGATGTCATCCCACAGTAACCCTTGACGCGCCATGACAAATTCTGACTCTCCTTGGACATTCAAGCTTTCACGGCACATTTAAGAATGGGTGTATATATTTTCTTTGGTATCTCTGATATCACACCCGTCGTTACCCGTCGTTTAAATAAATTAAGGCAGTTTGTGTGCTTGAGTGTAGAGTTCAAAAATGATGAAGTTTCTCACATTGCATGTGCTATCGGCCTAATTCTAGTACATGTGAATGGATCGTCAGCGTTGATATGGTTACGTCTATGGCGGAGAGGCAGTGCTGCCGTCACCAACTTGTGATGAGTTCATGAGATCCGTCGCCTTTGTCGTGTTTGACACGGTCACGGTGTGCACGCTGCCGACGCACGACCAGCTGTTGGGGTGCCCCAGCTGCTTTGCTGCCATGTCTCGCCTGACGCGCGCGGGGCCGCTCTCGTGACGTTCCGTCCCGAGCGACGACGCCCCTGACGAGCCTTGCGTCCGGTGCCGCCAGGTGTGCAGCATGAAGTGGTACCTGCGCAGTGTGCGTGTGGGCGAGGCGTCGCCCAGCTGCCCGCTGCCGGCCGTCGTCGCCGTGCACGCGCTGCAGTGCGGAGCCCTCTGGCGCTACTTCAAGCTCTTCATTCCCGTGGACCTGCGCTTCGTCAAGCAGGAGGTGCGCGACCTGTGCGTGCTGCGCATGATGCACGGCTTCTGCCAGGCGGCGCCGATGCTGCTCATCCAGCTGTACCTCATCTGGCGGCTGCTGCCGCTGCAGCAGGTGACGGACCTGAACGTGGTGTCGACGGTGCTGTCGCTCTTCAGCGTCTGCTGGGCGCTGGCGTCGTATAACAAGAACGTGCGCCAGCACAACATGCACAAGCTGGTGCTCACGTGGCTGGGCGTGATCTTCCAGCTGCTCTGGCGGCTCGGCACCGTGACGTCACGCGTGCTCGCGCTGACGGTGTATGCCACGCTCTTCCACTACTGGGTCTTCCTGGTGATCGGCCTGCACTGGCTCACCATGTTCCTCTGGCTGATCAGTCCGAAGAACGTGTTCCACGGCGAGAGCATCACCAAGGCGAAGAAGATCGTGTTTGCAGCTGCGATCGCGTACGTCTACACGTTCTGCTACATCAACTTCCAGGAGACCAAGTCGCGGCAAAAGATGGTGATATTTTATAGTGTGATGCTGCTGGAGAACACTCTACTGGTGTCCGTGTGGATGGCGGCCCTGCCGGAACAGATCGTGTGGTACCACTACATCATCCTCGTCACCGTGTTCGCCGCCTTCATCGTCGGCATCCTCTTCATGATGCTCTACTACCAGTATTTCCACATCAACAAGCTCAACTACGCGCGCTCGGTGGTGGACAAGGCGTGCGCGCAGTGCCAGGGCGGCACCTGCTCCGAGCACAAGCCAAAGGAGAACCTGTACGCCAACCTGACGACGGAGCTGGGCGGCCGGCGCAGCGTGCCGCCGCCGGCCGCGCAGCCGCCGCCCGACTACGCGCGCCTCAACGGCCAGCACAACCACGTGATCGGCGTGTTCAACTGCCGCTTCAACCCGCACATGATGAAGCGCAAGAAGAAGAAGCCGACGACGTTCGTGCCGCCGCCGCCGGTAACGGTGCTGCCCTCGGTGGCGTTCTGGCGGCGGCCGCTGCCGCGGCCCGGCGCCGGCTCCGACCACGAGGGCAGCACGGTCAGCTCGCGCGTCAACATCCAGCAGAAGCTGCAGGAGAAGAAGCAGCAGCAGCTGGCGGAGCTGCGCGTCATCGAGGAGGAGATCAAGCAGGGCAAGCTGGCGCGTCCGCGGCCAGCCGAGCTGTACGAGAACCGGGCGCTGCGTCAGCCGATCCCGCCGCAGAAGCGGCCGCCCTGGATCGAGCCGGTCGGCGGGCCGGCGGCGCGCAGCCGCACGCCCGAGGTGCTGCTCGCGCCGCACTTCCTCCACTCGCGCGTCTACGACGAGCCCGACGGCTGGCCGGCCGGCCGCCGCGCGCCCGACGACGACGACGACGACGAGGACGACGACGAGGTGACGGCTGACCCGGCCGGCGGCGGCGGCGGCGGCGGCGGGCGGCGGCGCGGCCGGCGCGGCCGCCTGCCCGACCGCGCGGCGGTGTACAAGAGCTGCCGCGTGCCGTCCGATGTCGACAGCCAGATCAGCCTGCCGCGCTCGTACACGCTGCCGCGGGAGTTCAGGTACTACCGGCAGACGCGGCGCGGCAAGCCGGTCAAGCCTGGCCAGTACGTGTCGTCCAACTCCAGCGACGGTGAGTGGCGGCGGCGCGGCGGCCGAGGGCGGGGATCCATGCTGGGACGTTGACGTACTGCCGCAAAGGGGAATGAATGTGATGGCCGTACATTTTGAATGATCACTCTTCGAAATCTTCCTTTGGTATCGAATGGTGTGACGTGGCTGGTTTGTCTTAATCACATGGAAACGTATTAGAACATGATATAGTTCGCAATCACTCGACGGCACGCTTTGTACGCATTGCGTAGTCTGCACTGAGCCCCTTTGCTGGGCAAAGTTTCGTAAGTTGCTCAGCTCGTTAGCAAGGAACATTATTCACAGACATATTAGACAGACACAGACATATTCACAGACACATATTCACATAGATCAGACAGTAGTATTAGCCTTATTTCTCGGAAAAAGCAGGAGAATGGAAATATAGTTTGGTTGATATTTCGGCAACATTCCTTCATCGAAACAAAAGCAGAAGTGAATGTATTTCATTTTCACATCGAATTGAAATGATGCTCTACTACCAGTTGCTTTCACGTTTCATTGAATACTTCTGCTTAATTTACTTCTGCTTTTGTTACGATAAAGGCATACTGCTGAAATGTCAACTAAACTATATTTCCATTCCCCCGGTTTTTCCGAGGAATGAGGCTAATACTGCTGTCTTATCTATGGGCAAAGTTTCGTGCGCCCACAGCGGGCGCATGGAAGTACGCGCGGAATGCAATGTCCATGCCACTAGCGTAGGCGTTATAATCGCAGCTATTCTTCATATTGGGCGAACGGTAACCCATACTGACCTGCGAATGCCGTGAGTTGGTGTTGCTCTTGAGCCTCCGCATGTTGGCATTGTGAGCTGGACGAGCGTGCCGCGGGGACATTGTCAGGAGTCCGGTCTGCGATCTGTGCTGTCCGAGGAGTGCGACCTGACCTCGCCCTCCGCTCCACAGGTGACGTCGACTCGGAGAACGAGGCCGACAACGAGACGATGCTGCGGAACAGTATGCTGCTGCACCAGCAGGCCATCCGGCCGCGGCCGTATCTGCCGCGCCGGCACGGCTACACACAGCACGAGACGCAGCTCTGAGCGGACGCACCCGGCCAGCGGCGGACTGGTGACGGCGCCCGCTGCTGCCGGACTGGTGACGGCGCCCGCCGCTGCCGGACTGGTGACGGCGCCCGCCGCTGCCGGACTGGTGACGGCGCCCGCTGCTCCTGGACTGGTGACGGCGCCCGCTGGCTACCGGACTGGTGCCGGCACCCGCTGCTCCTGGATTGGTGACGGCGCCCGCCGCCGCCGGACTGGTGACGGCACCCGCTGCTGCCGAACTGGTGACGGTGTTCTCTGCTGCCGGGCTGATGTTGGCGCCCACCGCTGCCGCACTGGCGATGGTGTTGCCATGTGGTGTCGACGGCGTTACCGTGTGGTGCCGACTGGCGGTGCGCCGCGGTGGCGCTGGTGTTGCCCTGTGCTGCGGGCTGCTGCCACCGCGTGGTCCGGTCTGGGCCGTATCGCAGAGGCGGCCCAGCGACGCTCGATAGTACGGGTTGACGGGGCGCTGACACCCGGCCTGCAAGCAGGGGCGCACTCGGCCGCGGCGCGGTCGCGTCAGAAGCCGGAAGCCGCCCAGTGCACTAACTTCATCGGATGGAGACCGTTGTCGCTGGCGTGCGCCCGGCCCAGTTCGCCACCTGCCGGCCTCGCTCCCATCACTGGTCGTCGTCAGTGGTGGGCGGCCCACCACCAGCAGGCGTCTGAGTCTCATGGACAGCTGGGCCGGGCCGACCGTCGGCTGAGGCGTCCGCCGAAGCTCAATGTCGACTGTGGGGGCTCGTGCTGTCCCGCTGTCGTAATGCTGCGTTATTATATATTTATTGCGCCTTGATGACTCGCGTTCGCGCCTGTTTGGGTGGTCATGACTCCATTGTGCTGGTGCTTGGTGGAATTCGCCTGCCTGCTATGCAATGTCGATGGACCAATTGTTGTATTTTGGACATTGGCCATGGTCGGAAGCAATTGTTGAACAGCTTTTTGTGGTATTTTCCGAGTGTACCAATGAATAACCTGATGTGATACTTCCCCTCGTTAGGAACTTTTTATCCGACTTTTGCGCGCGTCTGTAGATATTAGGAATGCAGCCCATTTGCTTACCGACCGACCGTGTTCATGTAAATCCAAGCGTGCCCATGTTTTTATCGCACATGTAATCTATACCCATCATGTCGTGCCAAGCGCCCAATGCTGTGCCAACGCACTAGTGCCAGATATCGCCTTCTACTCATTGTCTTCCGTCGACCCATCGTCATCCGTGTTGACCTCCCGCAGCCGCCGCCACACTGTCGCGCGCGATCTCCTGGCAGTGTCTGAGCCGGACCATTCGGGGCCCACCCGAAGAACAGCTGCGTCCGCGTGCTCTGGCGTGTCGCCCTGCCTGGTCTGGTGAGCACCACACTCTGAGCGCACCGCTCCGGTCTGGTGAGCACCACACTCTGAGCGCACCACTCGTGTCGGTTCGCCCTGTCCGCGACTCGATCTCTCACAGTGACACGAGCAGGGCGCCCAACCATGCTCTCCATCCGTTCCGTCCATTTTGTACAATAAACTCGGAGAATAGTGAGATGTGGCTTTGCCGGGCGCGTTGAAAGGTTCCGGGTCCGGTGAGTGCGGGCTGGCACGCTGTACGCACGGAGCCCCAGGGACGCACCGGATCGGGCGCTCCGTGCTTGGGCCAGAGGCGGGCGTCGGGCTAATCAAACTATAAAACAGATAATAACGGGCCATGAAGTGGAATTCACGTATTCAGCTACCTATAGTGTAAATTTGCGTGGTTCACGTTGCGCCGGAGTCTGTGGTCTCTCCGCGAGGTGGCGGCGCCAGTCGAGGGCCCTCCCACAGGCTGCGAACTGTACGGGTCCCAGGCAGGTAATCCCGCCACTGCACTCCGTCGCGAGCCACTGCTGTCTCCACGCTGCCTGTAGCTTCCGCGACAGCCTCACTGCCGGCCACCCTCCATAGGTGGAAGTCGAAGGCTCCAAGCCGACAACATGAAGCGTTTTGGGGCGTTTCTTGCCTTATAGCTTTGTAGGCACACCGCTACGTTTTGCAACAGTTCGGGGTCTTGTACCCCGCGGAAGTTCAGGCTCAGCACTCATACCCTCAGCAAAAACCGAAACAACTCTTCTGACACGGGGCTCAGTTTCGCAGTGAGATGGGAGGGCTGAACCGTAAGTAATCTGGAACGTACCCCAACAATTCAACAATTTTTTCATCTTTACCTCAGTTTTCTCCCAAAGTTAACGTTATTGCACCCAATCATGGTGCGGCCTCGGGGTCGATTTTGCCGGCCTGCGTGCATTACTACAAGGCAGCTAAACGCACCCTGCTGGCATGTTGCAAAGGTGGCAGACCGAACAGACCAGTCATGAGTTATCCTGTTCTGTGGTGACCACACGGTCTACGGCCAGTCAGGCATCCGTACTTGCACGCGCCCGTTAGGTTTCAGAAGGCTCAGACAGTCACCTTCAACACCCGGCAGTGTAACGATAAAAAAAAAACAGTCCAAGTCTGACACGGAAAACGGTGCAGCGAGAATTACGGGTGGCCAGCAAAGTGTAAACACAAGCACAGTCATGATATCCATTGCGATTAAAAATGTAAACTAAAAGTAACACTTGGTATCAACATAGTCCTTAACGTTGCGGTTCTGAGCTCCCATTACCAGCGCCAGTTAAGCTGATCATATCAGACCAGAGCGATCCCTTCCGAGTCACATTTATTCTCCTCCGCATCCGCATCCGCATCACGCACTCGCATCACACCGCGGGCAAGCCAGGGAGCCAAACACCAGACGAACACTACGCGAACCGGCAGCGTCACTTGGCGTCGAGCGTTTCCGTGGCCTTGGCCTTGAGTCGCCTCCTCATCAGGTGCTGCTCGTGCTCTTGTGCCTGGCGGGTCCGCTCGGCGTGAAGGCGCTCCGCAAGGTCCACCTCTGCAGTCAGCTGCACGATCCGCTCCTGAAGCGTCCGGCCACGTCTCGTTACAAACGCGAGTCGATCACGTCGAAACATCTGAACTGGAGCCATCTGAGCTGGAATCTTGAAATAGTCATCAACTTGGCAAGCAGGCTAAAACTGACTAGCAGAGATGGACATAAGAGAAAATATCAGTGGACAGCCTTTTCATTATTTGAATTAAATGGCCTGACTCACGTCATGTTTTTTATGACGCTCGAGCTACATTGGTCGCTGGCACATCAAGTAAATGGCAGGAATACAGAAAACAAAGCAGCGTAACAAAACATTACGGCCAAAGATCAGGAATGTATCCAACAGGCTAAAACGGACGAGAGACGAAGAGTGACGCCGGAAATGGGCAGGAAGCGGCATGTCCGAGCAGAGCCATGCACACAAGCATTCCCAGATTGTACAGTTGGTGGCTGTGTCTGAGGTGGACTTTTGATAACCCAGGGCAGCACGCGGGCTGCCAAGCGCCGCGCTGTCGGCTTTGGTGAACGCGGCGCCGGTGAAACGAGACCACACAGAGCGTAAGGCCAGGTAGTATACTGACAGCAATTCTAACCTGTTAATAGGAAAGGTTGGGGGGGGGGGGGGGTTGACAAGCAGTAAGTCAGGAAGGACACAGCCCGGCCAGATCGCGGGACAATCCAAACAGAAAGCATGCTCCACAAGCAGGGGATTAGCACATCAGGAGCAAGTCAGTCAGCAGCCAGAAGATAGTGTTGTCAGCAATCAGAAAGAAGGCACATTAGCCCTCAAAAGACATTGGTCGATCACCGCGAGGGAGTCCAGCGCATTACCCAGCGACAGGGAGCGAGTGCGCAGGCATCAGTACGTGCTGGGGCTGTTTCGCTGTCTGTCAAGTGGACTGGTGCTGGTGGGCGTCGTCTGACCATGTGCGGTGGCATCGTCTCACCAGGAGCGTCACACGCGTGCGGTGGTGCCGCCTCACCCGCAGCATCACACGTGTGCGGTGGTACTGTCTCACCAAGAGCATCATACGTGAGCGGTGGTGCCATCTCACCATGAGCTGCCGGTGCTGGGTGGCGCGGCGCACCTGGTGCGTGCCTGCCTGCACCGGCCGACCGTCTGGGTAGCTGTAGTCCGGGCCGTCCGTTAGCACACCACGCGCCGTCGGGTTCACCGGCTGTTGGTGTCTGTCGGCCGCCGGCCGCGTCAGCCGCACGCAACGCGGCGAGGCCAGGCGGGATACGACACCGGGCGACTCTGTACGACACTGGGCTACTCTGTGCGACACTGGGCGACTCTGTACGACACTGGGCGACTCTGTACGACACTGGGCAGAGTGGCGTGGGCAGGACGGATCCGACACTGGTCATCTCTGGGACCCGAAGCGGCGCGGCTAGGCGGGATACCACACCGATCCACCCTGTTTGACACCGGACGACTCTGGGACTGGAAGCGGCGCGGATAGGCGGAATACGACACTGGGTGGCTCGACACGACACGACAATACGACACGGGCGACTCTGGGACCCAAGGCGGCGCAGCGCCGGCAGGATACGACACTGGCAGCTCTGGGAGGCAGGACTGGCATGGGCACAATACATCTTGTCCGGCCATGGGCAAACTAACAGTGGAAACATGAAGTCCACAGTGCAGCTCGATGCGAACAATGGAGGTATGGGTCACTGTGGACAGAGTAATGCTTATAATCTGAGTTTATAAAGAATCATAGCCACAGTCAATATTGATATCATGAAACAACTGCAAGCAACTGCAACTGCATGCAAGCAGCTGCCACATGAGATCAGTTCTGACACGTAACAGATGAATGAGCATGCGTTCTATGTGGTCCATCTTGTGATAGCTTACTCTCGCCTCCAGTCTTGAAGTTTGGAGGGCAGAGGCTTTGGTGGAGCCTGGATCTTCTTGTACCATCTTATGCTTGCAACAGCACAAACTGGAGAAGAAAGTAACTTACTTCAGTAAATAGTGCTATCATCCTCAAATGCATGTAATATGTTCTCTGTCATGTCATGAAAGGTATATGGTGAATGACAGGAATTGTGTGCAGGAAAGACTTACATCAAAGCATAAAAAGCAAACTGCCAGGAGTCACATTAATAGTTTCCATTCTATGATCTAACCATGGTGGACTGCTCACTTTATCAATATGTGCTCATGTACTTAATGCATGGACATTCACGACAAATTACACCATGTAAAAGATTTAACAAGTTTTAAGGCATTCTGGATTTCAGTCAACATCAGGAAGTGCTGGCAAAAGCCTGTAACATATGTATGTACAAGAAAGATTGAGTGTAATACAAATGAAGCAGGGCTGCAAATACTTAGGCTCTTTCATCAAAGCATAAACAAGAGACACAAAAGTAGCCAAAAACATGAGACACAGTCAATTTGTTCAGGGATGGTAAATGCCATCTCATCAACCTTATAATTGGCTGCCATGGGTTGCTATACCAAAGAAACATTATCAGGCAAACATATCAATAACATTAGCAATGTTAAGACAAACAGGTACATACCTCTATGTACATTTGACAAGACATGTGATGCAGAAGAAACCAGGCCGCTCTGATGGATGATGCCCTGACCCACTCTTAACACCATTTCAAGGGCCATGTCTTCTGAATTTTACTCCTGCAATACAAAATATTGTGCATCTGCATTCCACAGCCACTTACTGCACATGCATCATGCACTGATCTTCACAATAGGTATGGTAAGGACATACAATGTCTTGCATCTTGTTGTCATTGTGTAAGATACAGGATAAAAACACACAGGTCTGCTTGGTGAATGTTCTGAACCCATCACCACTGAATGCAAATCTTTAAAATATAACAAATTGCCAGAGAAAAAGTGTAGGTTTCAAGGCATTCATGTTAGCCGCAGTATTTCTAAAAATCAGCCTACCACTGCATTCATTTCATTACAACTGCATGGAGGAATGACCAAACACCTTTAATCAGCATGTTTGACAAGATATTTCATTCAGCTACCAGACAGTGCAGCTTTCATTCTGACCAGCATCTAGATATGTTTCACCAAAAATCCAGTCTGTTAATCCAGAAGATGTGCAAACTTAGCACCAAGCTTACAAAAAACACATGAGATGATGATAAATTAATGATAAATGTTAATCATACAGCTTGGCAGCTTGAGGTGGAGAAGAGAAGCAAACACTGCACAGTAAATACTACATGTTCAGGAAAAGGGAATGCTGCATCCACCTGGCTGGTGCAATAGTCAATTCACCGCTGCGGCAGCGCTTTGTGCCGTACTAGCTACACGCCCCCCCCCCCCCCCCCTTACAACCTCCAACGTAGCCTCACTCCAACCCTTCCAACAGTCCTCCGTTCAAGGCCCTTGAACTGACCTGCAACCACATGTAAGCATTTACTCTGCTGGATATGAGATGCACGCCTGTTACTGCAAATGAGGCCTGTAAAATGAGCTTTCAACATCACATCCTGTTTGGAACTGAGCTACCTAATCAAAACATTTGCTTTTTCCAATGAAAACAAGGTTTGCACTTATTTCATGCAGCTGATTAGTTCAAAATTGCTTAAGTACTAAAGTTGCTTACAGCAAACAGCTGCATAAGTTCTCAACGTTTATTGCGCTATTGCGATGAAAGTGGAGGTTCGTGAAAAAAGCCGAAAGGCTATGCGCTCAGCTCAGACCCGCAACAGGTCGGTCATGACCACAGAAGGCTGGGGGTGGGGGTTCCACGCTCGGCAAGATCTGTTTTGCACGTTGTACTGAGCTGTACTGCCGTATTAGGGATACCATTCGTAAGTTTGGGCCGTGGGCCCATTGCAAGCGGAGCCTGTACTTGCATTGAGCAAATGTTGTAGTAGAGGCTGCTCGCCAAGTGAGAGTGTTCCATTTGGTGATGACTTGACAGCTGAATGAATGCCTCATGATGAATGTTAGAAAAAGTGTGCCTGGAATTACAGATTTATGTGCTGTGATGGTACATTCCAGTGCTGATCCAGATGATTTGGGGTACATTTGTGCTGGGAGCTGTAATGACCACAGTGGGCAGGCTATATGCCATTCCATTCATTCACCATGCATACCTTACCTTACCCTACCTCTCCTGATGGTGATCAGGAATTGTAAAAGGCCACTTGGCCTGTCAGTCCTGGTCTTGTCAAGCTTCTGTTCCTGTAACCGAACAGCTCACAGTTAGGGATAGGTTCAGTGTGGAATGCCATAAATTATGCCCCCCATACATATCAGCTGTGACTCTTCAGCTGCTCAGCTGAAGGTTGACAATACCACCATTTTCAAAAGAGCATTCCAAGCAGTAATGACCTGCATGCTGAATGATTTATGAGGCTACAAATGAATTATGAAAGTTCTGCTCTTGGTTTTCTTAGCTTGCCTTGGTGTCCCCTTGTTACCTCCAAGCTGTGTCTTGTCAGAAACTCATCTTCTGATATTGATATACCTTTGTGAAACAGGTGGTACACTGCAATCATGTCTCCCCCGCAGCGAGGATAGTACAATTGGAGGAGTTTGAGCCTTTAGGGATATGGCGGTGCCTCACATTGTGGACAAGACATGTAGCTTGTCGCTTAACCTGCTCCAGTTGCTCCTGGTCCAGTTTACCAAACAGGCCCCAAATGATGTTGCTATTCTCCAAATATGGGCACACTAGGATATCAAAGAGCAGTGGCAGTGTGTGAACATCGATGTTGGCAACCAATTGCTTCACGATCTCCAGCACCTGGTAGACCTTTGAGATCACCTCTGCCATCTGCACGTGGAACTTCAGGCTATGATCCACATAGATTGTGAGGTCCTTCTTGGTTTTCTGTGGCATTCAGGGAATGGCCTCGGGTTGCAGTTCCCGATGTGCACTTTTTTGCACTTGATTGCATTAAAGGGTAGCAACCACTCCTCATGACCACTTGGCCTGGGCATTGAGGCCCACCTGCAGGGGAGACTTATTTAGGGTCTCGGGGCAGGACTAAAGCATATAACCACCCATTATAACTCTACTGCCAGCACCAAAGGCTTAATGAGGCAGAAAATGGGCCTGCTGATAGTAAAAGTGCTTAGTAATGTTCTCTTTTCAGGCCAGCCTATTGATGAGCAAGACTGAAACAGCTTTTCGCCATGGATCCAGATGTCTCTTTTGCAACAGCCGACCCCTGTGGTCAAAACTTGCTAGCACTGGTGTCCAGAGGCAATGCCATAATAGCTGAGCTTCTGAGGCTGAGAGATTATTTACCTGATGTGTTTCGGTAAGTGCTATTAGTTTTGTGAGCATGGGTGCTTCATTTTTGTAATCCTGCTGTGTCAGGATAGTTGCTTGTTGCAAGACCCATCTTTCCACTTAAGTTTACCAACCCTCCTTTTAGTGTCAGGTTGTTATGTTTCATGTTTGTTCTTGTTACATGTTTCATGTTTGTTCTTGTTACATGTTTCATGTTTGTTCTTGTTACATGTTTCATGTTTGTTCTTGTTACATGTTTCATTTTGTTTGTGATCATCCGTCATGTGCGGCTGTTATTCCACACTTTTGTTCTCTGCCAGCCCATATGCGCAATGTCACGCTACACACCTTCGCCACGTTGTCTCCTCCCGACCATTGTTCCGTCACTTTGTCTTTTTTCTACGTCTGCATCCAGCTGTTCTCCGTCCTACGCATACTGCGTCGTCATGCGAAATGTGTTCTCACATCTGCCGGTTTATCGGATATTCATCTTTCCGTCCCATTCTCCGCGTTCAGTGCAGATAATGGCAATCGTGGACGGGACGATGGTGTGGATTGCACTAAGCCGGCGATGGCGGCGGTGACGCGATGATCTTGTGACCCTGTGAGCGAAGCGCGACATGCTATAACTGTTTATGAAGATGGTCTGGTGTTTCCGACAGGAAAGACAAGAAAGAAGAGTGGAAGAAATATGCACCAGTCATATTTGACTTTAGTTACTTTAAGATAGCTGATGCTGTGGAAGCCAAGATTGAAGCAGATGATGTGAGCATGCATAAATTGGCAGTGTTTATCTGCCCTTTTACCGGAACGCCGTGGCTGACTACCTGTGGCTACTTGGATTATACAATGAGCACTGTCCATATCACTGATGCGCTGATATATCTGCTGTTTCGGCTCAGTTACCAATGGGCCTTCGGAGCGCAGAGCGTTTACGTTTAAGGCTTCAGCGTACCACTGCGCCCAGTCTCAGATACGCGTGCGCACGACCGGCCGCCGCGACACCTCAGCCTGACTGCTCGCCCGCCCGCCGGTGACCTTTGCGCTCGGCCGCGGCGCCGGCGTCGGTCACGTGACCCGCTGGTCACGCGGGTCAGCTGCCGCACTGCGTGCTGGAGCAGCGCGCGGTGAGCGAGCGTGCGGAACAGGAGGTACCCGCTTGCCGCCGTAAAGCTATGGTGCACCCTAAAAAAGCGATGAGCTTTGATGTGGGATGCTTGCGCTTCACGAGGATTGCTCACCAAATTCCCGCATCTTGCGTCTTTCCAGAACTTACGGAAGCTGGATGCCCAGTTCAGGGAGAACTACTTGGAGGTGGTCTCGCGGTTCTACGTGGCTTATGAGAGCATATACAAGTACATCACTGATCTGAACAACTTCATACGGGACCTTTCGGATGGCGTGTACTTCCAGCATTCAATGGAAAACGTCTTTGCAGACCCGGATGGAAAGCAGCTCATGGTCAGTCATCATAGCGCCTGATGGTTTGCAGACATATGCGTAACGGACGCAGTGGGTCGGTCTCTCCGGTGACTTGGCCTGCCATAACGGAGTGCTGTAGCAGACCGTGCTGGAACGGACGGCTGTAACGGGCACTCCCGGGACATACTTAGAAGTAACGAGTGGCGCTAAGAATTACCAGCTTTAACGGATTTCCAGCTTTAACACCGTGACCAACCGGGCTGGAAGGTGCTCCGCTATAATGAACTGCGGGAGCGCACCACCGTAGCAGACTGCTGCCGGGAGTTGTGTGGTAACGGGCTTTCTGGCAACGGAGTCTTCTTGAATGGGCTCAGCGGACTCTGATTTGACGGACTCTTTTGCTATCTTCTCTGCTGAAGCCGACTGCTGTGATTGACTCTGCTGTAACAGACTTTGGCATGATTGGCTGCTGTGAGGAACTCCGCTGCGGCAAACTGCGCTGGCTGTTATTGATCCTGCTTTAGCAAGCTCTGTTATGACGGACCTTCCTGTTCGGACGGCTATGTCTGACCTGTGTCTGCTATGTCTGCTGTGATGAGTCTGCTGCAATGATTGTATGCAGCAGTGGTGTTTGCCACAGCAGCCACTGCGCTTGCGCCTCAGCTGCAACAGACTGTGCCATGGTAGAGTTTCCTGTCACAAAGTCTGCCGCAGCGAACCATGGTAACGGGTCTGATGTAAAGGACTCTGCCGCAATGGACTATTCTAACGAGGCCTGATGTGACGGATTCTCCGGAAACGGACTATCGTAACGTGGCCTGATGTAACGGGCTCTCCGGAAACGGGCTATTGTAACGTGGCCTGATGTGACGGACTCTCCGGCAACGGACTAATGTAACGAGGCCTGATGTAATGGACACTACCTCAACAGACTATTGTAACGTGGCCTGATGTAACGGACTGCCGCAAAAAGATCTGCTTTCTCTGATTAGTGCAGCAAACTCCGGCGTAACTGAGTTTGATTTAATGGGCCTTCCCCTACCGAAGCCGACGGTGACAAAGTGCTGGGACGAACTGCCGTCATCAACCCCTGTGCAACCTCTGTTGCCACAGACTCCGCTGTGACGAACTCTGGCGTAACGGGCTCCGCTGCGGTCTTACTGCAACGGGCTTTGCTAAAATAGACCTGGCTGTAATGGATTTTTCTGTCGCGGAATCTGCTGTAATGAGCCTCCGTACAGCACGCCCCGCCGTGACAGGTTCCAATGTAACGGACTGTGCTGTGACACTGTCGCAACAGATTGCTGAGGCTGATTCTGTTGTGACGAACTCTGATGTGACTGACTTTTGTAACGGATCCTGCTGCGGCTACCTGCGATGCGTCGTATTCTCCGTGACGAGCCCTGCTGCAGCGAACTCTACGAGCCGCACTACTAGCGAGCTCCCTGCGACTCGTTCTGCTGTAACTCGCTGTGTTGTAACGGACTGTGTTGCGGCGTACTCGGCTCTGTTCTGACGACCTCTGCTGTGATGGTCTGAGGCAAAGGTCATGGCGACCCCCGCTGTGATAGTCTGAAGAGAAGGTCATGGCGACCCCTGCTGTGATGGTCTGAGGCAAAGGTCATGACGACCCCTGCCGTGATGGTCTGAGGCGAAGGTCATGGCGACCCCTGCTATGGATGGCGTTCCTATGGCAGCCGTCGTTACTGTGGCAGCCTCTGCTACTGTGACAGCCATCGCTGCTGTGGCAGCCGTGCTGCCGTGGCAGCCGTTGCTGCTTTGGCAGCCGCGGCTGCTGTGGTAGTCGCTGCTGCCGTGGTAACGGCCGCCGCTGTGGCAGCCGTTGCTGCTTTGGCAGCCGCCGCTGCTGTGGTAGTCGCTGCTGCCGTGGTAACGGCCGCCGCTGTGGCAGCCGTTGCTGCTTTGGCAGCCGCTGCTGCTGTGGTAGCCGCTGTGGCAGCCGTCGCCGCCGTGGCAGTGTCTGCCCTCCCCCATGCGCCGTCTCCCCGCCGCCGCTGTGCCGGTCTCAGCGTGGCCCGTTCTGCCCCGCGGTCAGTGTGAGGCGCTGTACCTGCTCGGCGCCCAGCTGCTGACGGCTGAGCAGATCGAGGGAGACAGCCGGGAGCGCCTCCTGGTGGCGCACCACCGCGGCTCGCTGCGCCGCTCGGCCCACTGCCACCTGGACGACGTCTGTAAACTGCTGCGGTCCACTGGGCGCGTGGAGGGCGGCCGCCGGCCCCCTAACTACCCCGAGCACTACTTCAGGTACGCTGGACGGCCGTAGGAGGCACCCGCGCAAAATAGGGTTTGGGTTATGCACGTGTAGGGGAACTTAGCGGACTAGTTTCTGGCTGTGCCTTGTATCTGGTTGTGTGAAATGAGGTTGTCCTACAAGAGTGTGTTGTTACGGAATCTTGTCTACAAAAGTGGGGCGCTTCGCATTTCGATCTCATCACTTCATCTTCATTTCATAAATATCGAACTATTCATCTTCAATTTCATCTCATCTCACGTCATGCCATCTCATCGATTAGCATGGCTGCTGGCGCATGGATGACACGCACAATAGTAAAGCGCTCAAATTTTGTAAATATGCTTCAGGGGTCGACGTTCTCGTGCTTAGGCTTTGAAATGCGAGAGGCAGGTGATGTCACATTAGCCTCAGCAACGGAAGGCATCGTAAAGCCCCTGCGGCGTCGACTTCTCGCAGGTCACATTTTCAAAAGTGGAACGCTTCACGATTGTGCGTGTCATCCTTGCGCCAGGGGCCATGCTAATCTTCTCTGTATCGTTCCAATTTTAGTACATGTACAGCCGGAGCTGGTACGGTTTGATGGGGGATATATGTCCTATTTGAATGACGTCGCGAAAATGTTCGTTCCTCCTAGTTTGTGTGCGCAAGTGTGCAATTCGCCAGCTGTTTCGATATACATTGCCTGAACTTTTTTGTGGCACTGTAAGTTGTACTTGGCCTCGGTTTTGCAATGTTCCCTTGAGTACAAGATACACACGGCAGCGCGTACAAGCAAAAATACTGCAACTTCATTGGCACCGTTTCCCCAAACCTTCATCTGGTGGCCATAACCTGAAGTAAAAATGACCGAAACGCCCCTAGCGTCCGCCCAGCGTACTACCGACCGCAGCCGCGCACACCTAAGTCAGCGAACGGGGCGGGTACGAGCGGGGCCAGGCTCTGCGTCCGCCCCGCCCCGGCCACCAGTCGCCCCGCCCCGCTGACGGCCCGGCGCGTGCTCTCCAGCCGGGTGCCGGTCGCGGCCGAGTACGCGGCGCTCGTGGTTGACCAGCTGCGCTCCGGCGACATCTACTGCCAGGCGGGCACCTACCCGCTGCCGGAGCACCGCGCCACGGCGCTGGCGCCGCAGGCCGCCATGCTCTACGTCTGCCTCTACTTCCGGCCGGCCGTGCTGGCGGCCGAAACGGCCGTCATGAGGGAGATAGTCGACAAGTTCTTCCCTGACAACTGGGTACGGTGGAGGACGTGGTTAAACTGATGCGACGAGAGGAAGGGAACGGGCTGGGCTGGCGGGGTTTACGAAACTTCGCTCGTTTAGACAAAATCTGATTAAGCTCACTGCTGCGAAATGACTCACTGAGCTGTACACCTGTGCTACGGAGGAATGTGGGACCATGCCCATTTGATATTCTTCAGGGTTGAGTTTGTAATTATCTTTGTTTGTTACACTACCCTGTCTGTACAGACGAACCTTTGATCAGACCGCCCTCCGGCCAAATCACCATCGTCATCGTCACTCGGTCTGTGGCAGGTGATCAGCGTGTACATGGGGTCAGTGGTGAACTTGCTGGAGGCGTGGGAGCCGTACAAGGCGGCCCGGACGGTGCTGCAAGCCTCGCTGGACACCGCCGCCGTGCGGCAGATGGCGTCCAAGCACGCCGCCAAAATGGAGGTGCCGGCACCGATCCAGTCCGTTCGGGGCTGGGTCATGCAGTGTTATCAGTGAAAATGAACCTGTTTAGGTTGATGAGTGTCAGCTGTTGATGCTCCCAACCACGCACAAGCAGATGATTTTGAGAATTTAACACATTTTGTTTAGTCGGTCGTATGGTCGTAAGCTGAATTAGGGCTGTGCTATGCTAGGTCCTTCATGCGGCTACCATTGGATATTTTTGTGAAAAAGTACG